ACAGGTACTTTAAAAGAAACAGAACAGCTACCAACTCTGTAGGGGCTTCCCAGGTGTCTCTCCACCTGCAAATGCAGGAGACTCGGGTTTGATCCCTGGATCGGGAAGATCCCCTGGAGAAGGAAATAGCAACCCACTCCAGTATTCTTGCCTGGGAAATCCAATGGACAGAGGAGCCAGGTGGGCTACAGTTCACAGGGTCACAAAAAGAGTCGGGACATGACTCAGTGACTAAACAACAACAACCAACTCCTAGGAGCAGCAATCCAATAATCCCTGAGCTATGTCTAATGCTTGCCCTTCCCAGACCCCAGGGAACATGCTCAACCCACTTTTAAGCACACCCCTTGCACCCTGACACAGACTCTGCCCTAGAGATTCATTTTCTAGCCCCGACTCCTACCATGAGTAAATGGGAGAAGAAATCTCCACCTGCCCACCCCATCCAATGCTGGTATCTTCAAAGACTTCAAAGACAGAAGCTCACAGGCAGTCATTTGGAACACAGCCCGCTGTAAAATGACTTCAGGAGCCTGTTTCCACCCTTGGGCTTCCCTCAGAGCTCAGTTGGTAAAGAATCCACCTGCAATACAGGAGACCCCGGTTCGATTCCTGGGTCTGGAAGGGATAGGCTACCCACTCCAGTATTCTTGGGCTTCCCTCGAATATTGGAAACATTGGGTTTCCCTGCAATGTGGGAGACCTGGGTTCAATCCCTGGGTCAGGAAGATCCCCTGGAGAAAGGAAAGGCTACCCACTCCAGTATTCTGGCCTAGAGAATTCCATGGACTGTATAGTCCAAGGGGTCGCACCAGGCTCCTCTGTCCATGGGATTTCCCAGGCAAGAACACTGGAGTGGGTTGCTATTTCCTTCTCCAGGGAATCTTCCCAACCCAGAGATTGAACCCGAGTCTCCTGCATTGGCAGGTGGAAAGGAACCTGGGAAGCCCCTACAGAGTTGGTAGCTGTTCTGTTTCTTTTAAAGTACCTGTAAAAAAAAAAAAAGAAAAAGAAAAAATAAATAAATAAATAAAGTACCTGTGATACAAATCCCAGAACACCTACCCACCCACCCAAAGAGCATAGTTCCCATGACCTTCTGACTTCTTCCCTTTAGTTCCTCTTGAAAATCCACCACCAAGCTTGGGGTCGCAAAGAGTGGGACACGACTGAGCAACTTTCACTTTCATTTTCTATATCTAAAATAGATAAACAACCTGGACCTACTGTATAAGCACATGGGGTTGCATAGAGTTGGACACGACTGAGCAGTTTTCACTTTATTTCTCCCCAAGACCCAGAACTCACTTACCTAGATTGGATCCCAGAACCTTGACTAGTAGTGTGGCTGTTTGCACTAAAACCTTTCATAAAACATGAAACATTTTATGAAAGGTTTTATGAATCACGAGGAAATCTATTACCCTGATGTTTCAGTGGCTTGGGTTTTGAACTTCAGCAGTAAGAGGGAAACCCACAGACCTCAGAACCTCAAAGATACTGCCAAATTGCTTTTTGGCAGAACCACACAGAAGGAGGTGACAGGCCCAACAAGGCTGCAGAAGGAGGTCATGGGAACCTGCACTTCTGGGAAAGTAAGCAGTATGGTAGGGTTCTGGTGTCACGGAGCGCAATCCCAGCTCCAGCTCCAGCTCCTGCTTCTGTGGCCCTGTGGCCACTCTGCCTTGGAACCTCGGTGAACAGATGCTTCTCCATTTCACCACTGCTAGCTCTCCTGCCCAGAACCCTTACATTTCCTAAACACACTGAGGCCAGGTGGCTGCCATTCCTTGAGTGAATTTGCAAATATGAACTCGCTTGCTCACCAGTCCCCCATTCCCTTAAGTGACCTGTTGCAGTACACATCTGTCAACTGGGGCGCTCTACCCTAAGGAACAGGGAATATTCATCAGATGAAACGAAGGGAACTAACTAATATTGAGTAGTTGTATAATATGCACCAGGGGCTTGAGATCAATTCTTCTATGTAATCCTCACACTCAAGAGAAAAACATTATTCACTTTTTGAAGTGAAAGCTGCTCAGTCGTGTCCGACTCTTTGCGAGCCCATGGAGTGTATAGTCTGTGGAATTCTCCAGGCCAGAATACTGGAGTGGGTAGCCGTTCCCGTCTCCAGGGGATCTTCCCAACCCAAGGATTGAACCCAGGTCTTCCTCAATGCAGATGGAGTCTTTACCATCTGAGCCACCGAGGAATGAAACAGCATACAGAAAAGTGCACAAATCATAAGCTTGATAAAAGTGGACCCATCCAGACCAAAAATTAGACTCCCTCTTAGAGTCCTTCTCCATCACTCTCCACCACCTCTTCCCTACAAGTACTGTAAACAGTATCCTAACTTTGAATACCATAAGCCAGTTTGCCTGGTTTTGAACCTATTACAAATGGAATCATTCACCATACAGTACATGGTGTTAAGCCAGCGCCTTTCACGAAGTATTATGTAAGCAACCTCCTTATTGTGTGTAGCCGTAGTTTATTCATTTAAATTGGTGTGTCATCTTCTCTTGTATGAGGATGGAACAGTTTACCCATGTTCTATGGACATTAGGATTATTTCCACTTGGGAGCTGTGATTGAAATATTCCCTTTTGTTGTATACATGCTTTTTAGTGCACATAAATATCTATTTCTGTTGACTCTGTACTTAAAAGAGTTGCTGGCTCTTTCAGGGGATACTGCCAAATACATTTTCTTAAGCAGCTGTAGTAATTGAAATTCCCACCTGCAGTGTGTAAGAGGTCCAGTGACTCCACATTCTCACCAGCACTTGATTTGGCAGTATTTTCAATATTAACCATTCTAGAATGGCATCTATTAATACTTTCATTTTCCATTTCCCTGATGACTAGTGAGATTGAGCATCTTTTCGTATACTTATTGGCCTCTTTTATGACATGCCTGTTCACAAAGTTTGCTCCAATTTTATTCTTCTTCTAGATAGATAGGCATTACTATTCTCGACTATTTGCACTTTCATATCCACTTTATTTATTTATTTAACTTTCTGGCCCTCCACGGGGCATGCAGGATCTTGGTTCCCTCACCAGAGATTGAATTTGCGCCCTCTGCAGTGGAAGCAAGGAGTCTCAACCATTGGCCTGCCAGGGAAGTCCTTCATATACACTTGAGAAACACTTTATCAATCTCTGTCCCCCAAAAGCTCAGGTTAGATTAGCATTTAGTGGAATCTTTATGTCAATCTGTAAAGAATTTGCATCTCCAATGTAATGTGGAGTCATCCAGTCCATGAATGTGGTAATGTCTGTCACTTATGCAGGTTTTCTTTTATTTCTCTAAATAATATTTTATAGTTTTCTATGTAGAGCCTTTCAACATCTTTCACACGATTTATTCCTCGGTATTTGATGTGGTTTATGTAATTGTAAATGGCATCATCTTTTACATTTAAATTTCCTAGTCATTACAGGTATACAGAAATACAATCGATTTTTGTAAACTGACCTTGTATCTAAATTCACTTATTATTTGAGTTTATCTGTAGACTTTTCCCATATACATATACACACATACATGTACAGACCTGTTGCATGATTAATTTGAAAGGTTCATTTCTTGACTTTCAGTCTTTATGCTTTTCATTTCCTTTCCTTATTGTACTAGTTTAACCTCCAGTACAAAGCCTAATGGAATCGGTAATAGCAAGTATTATCTTTCTTAATCTCAGGTTGATTATTAAATATCATTTGAACTGTAGCTTTTATGCAGATAATCTTTATCAGACTAAAGGAGTCTCCTAATTTTAGTTTACTGAAATTTTTATCATGAGTTGTTTAATTTTATCCAGTGTTTTCCCTGCATCTATTACAATAATCATTTTTTCCCCTCATTCTGTTAATGTGCTATATGGAAATGTGATGCATGCTAGACATACCAGAGTTGTCTCTGGGAATTTTGCTGGGTCACTGAGAATGATCCTTTCTCTTCTCTTGCATAATTATGAACTATAACAACTGTGTGGGAATTCCCTGGCGGTCCAGTGGTTAGGACTCTGTGCTTTCAATGCCAAGGACCTAGGTTCAAACCCTGGTCAAGGAACTAAGACCCCACAAGTCATGGGAAAAAAAAAATATATATATATATAAGGAAATCTGGAGCTTCTGCGGAATATCTCACCACATGTTAAGAGCTTGCCAGAAATTGAGCCTAACCCAGAGGAAATAAAAATCACAATGTGGGGGATGAGAGATGGAAAGACACCCTCACACAGAAAAAAAAGAATACAGATGACAATATTTGAACCCTAGTTCTAACAATGTCAGATCTTTCCCTGCCTTGACAAAATATATGAACCAATGAAATTTTTTTTCACTTGAAGTACTTTGAGTTGATCTTATTTATATTCATCACATCCATCTTGCTTAGAAGATTTCCCCAAGCAAATTGCAAAAGTCAGGTCAGACTATTGAACATCAGCTATATTTCCATCATAGGAATGCGCATGGGTCTGGGACGGGCAGTGCCGCTGAAACATGCAGTTCTAGGCAGCCGTATTCAAACAGCAGGAGAGACAGGATATAAAAACCAGATCAACATCCAGGTGCACCAGCTACCTTTACAGTCACACTACTTTACATATTTAAAGTAGGACCTGCTAGCTCCTATTTCACCACACAATCCATTTTCCAAAATGTAGAGAACTCCAGCCCATTATCCTGGCCTTTGGAATGGGTACAGAAAGAATTATCCAACCTGTCTTCCTAATCACAGATGAAAATTATTCTAGGAATTTCTGGAACTTGACAGATGTTAAGGAGCAAGAGAGCTAATGAAATATGCAAACTCTCCTAGAACAAAAGGGAAGACTCGCAACTCAGGGGACAATCCACAGTCCTTCTTTTACATGGACACCTCACTGTGGCTGCAATGACCCCTAATGGAACTGACACCCCAAGAGCTCTCAGCCCAGAACTCTGCACAGTTACAGGAGCAGCCCCAGCCTCCCTCTGGGCCCCTGTCTAAGACACTGGTTTAATGAAGCCATAATCCATGCATTTGATGAGACATTCCCGAGCTGTCTGAACCACCGCTGCCCGCTTCTCATCCGGCTCTTGCTTGCCCACCACTGTCAGGATCTCCAGCAGCTCACTCTCCACCAGCTTCTTGGCCAACTCAGCATCAGCCGCCAGCAAGTTGTAGGCAATGACCAGGCCCCGGTGTTGAACTGACAGCCGGTCATGCAAGCAAAGCCGCTGTAGAATCTCCAACCACTGAGTTGTCTGGAGGCAGGGAGGATAAAGACAGATTGGAGGAATCAGTGGAGGGGATGGAGAAGGGCGATTCTGGACAAGATAAACAGAAGGCATTGGCCAAGCCCAGATTCTGAGCTCTGAAAGGGCAAGTGCATATCTGATTATCTCTATGGACTCAGCATATGCCCAGCTGAGCCTCTTGGAACTAGCTGGATGATGCCCATCTTACCAGGGCAGGAGCTGGAGAATTAGAAGAGACTTGAAATAATCCAGTCCTTTTCATTTTGTAAGTGGAGGGATTGAGGTTGAGGGAGAGGAAGTAACTTAGCTACGGTCACACATCTGGAAATAGTACAGAATAAACATCCACCCATCCACTTAATTTTTAAGCATCATGAGGAGAAGAGATACAGGCCTGCTGCATGCCTGAATGGAATGGGGATGGAGGGTGTTCAGAAAGGAAGATTCTAACTCTGGGCACATGCACAACGCCTGCTTCTGTCAACCCATGTGCCCTGGGAGACGCTGCTCTAGGGCAGCAGCCTGTGGTCCCCAGGCTGGAAGCACCCCACCTGTGACCGACACAGTCAGAATTACCCTGGGGTAAGTTTTTTAACCAGCCCTCCAGCTGACTCTTACACACCTTACAGTTTTGAGAAACCTGTCTTACGGAAAGGGCTGAAGGCCAGGGGCCAAGAGGATGAGCAATGTTCAGGAAGGAGACCCTCCCGTGGTGCCAGGACAGTATGAGTCTCCATGGAACTTAGAAAACACACACACACATATACACACCCCCACCTTGAGCTGGCTATCTAAGAGCTTGCCTTTTATTCTTTATATATATATATATATATATATTTAAAATTAGAGGATAATTACTTAACAATATTGTGATAGTTTTTGACACACAGCAACATGAATTGGTCGTAGGTATTCATACGGCCCATCCCTGTTGAATCCCCCTCCCACCTCCTCCCTCCATCCCACCCCTCTAGGTTGCCACAGAGCACCGAGGAGCCTGCCTTTAAAGCAGACTTGCTGCTTAGCATGCACGAGGCCCTGGGTTCAATCCCCAGCACCTCCATAAGTTCCGTGTGCTTCCCACTCTGCTGAGGTTCTTCTCCCAGGGGGGATTTGTGTAAAGCAGACTTGCTTTAATACATTTGAATTGAGATGTTCACATTTTTTCACCATCAGTGACTATGAGGCCCACAAACTTAAGTTCTGTTCGGTGAAATAAGGGAAGTTTCATTTTGCACCCCTATGTTTGTGGCTATGTCCGTATCACTCTCATTACACCTGCTGAAACAGCCACAGTCCCACAAAGGGCCTGGCCATCATCTAAGAGCCTCTTTGCCAAACTGTGAGCTCCTATGGTACCCCATTCACATCCCCACTTCTCTTGAGGAGCTTAGGGGCCCTATGGCAGTAGTTAGAGCTGTTATTATTATTATTCTTGCATAATGAGTTATGAGCACCACCAAAGTAAGTTTGCGCATTTAGGGTGTCCACATAAGGAGTGTAGAGGTTGCAGCATATACCTTCCCCTCTTCTGTGGGTAGGAACAGATACCCAGGGGGCGGGGAAGGGGTACCACGAGGGCCGGCCTCCCCCGCAGACGATCATCTAGGGCAGCGTGGTATGGGGCTGCGGGGTTCCCCAGGGCCTGCTCTCACCACTTCAGTCATCTTGAAGCACAGTTTCTTATGCGCTGCTGTCAGCATGGCCAGGGCCCCCGCAGCTGCATTCTGCACCTTGTCGTCATCCTCGCCACAAAGCAGCACCACCAGCTTCAGCCGGTCGTTGCCATCGGCCAGGAACCTCTCCTGTACCTATGGGGGGCAAGTACACGGCTCAGAGGAAAAGGCCCCCACCTGCCCAGCCTGGAGAGGGAAGGACGCATCTGGAGCCATGTTCTCTGACCCAAGATCACTCAGAGCTTTGCTTCGAGCAGCACACTCATTGACACCTCCTCCAGGAAGTCTTTTCTGATTAGCTAGATGAAAAGACTACAGACTCCTTCAGTTTACAGGTTATAGAGAATAAGGAATTTCTTACATAGCATTCATTGTCACCTCTGTTTACATTCAGCTCTCCACCCTTGGGGAAAGGGCAGGTACAGACTCCTGAAGGGTGGATGTTGCCTGTAAAGCCCCATCTCTTTCCTTTGGAGAAGACTGGAATGTTTCTCCCACAACAGATGGGCCTTCAGCGTCTGCCATAAAATGCCTTTGTGGTCCCTGAAGGCACAGAGTCTTGGCAAGAGCATCTTTGGGTAGCTGGGTAGTTTACATGGTAGTCAAGAGCTGGTGCACCATTTACCAGGTGGGGGGTGAGGCTTCCCAAGGCCCCCTTCTCCTGCCCCTCTGCTCTGCAGAAAACCCTGGTTGGTTAAGTTTAAGGGCATTTTTGCTGGGTGACGTGTCCTAGAAGTGAAATGCTAAAAGGAGCCAAAGGTCACAGCTGCTCAGGTTATAAACCTTTACCTGCATCTCCCTGAAGCTGGAGCAGTGGTCCTCAGAGGTAAGAGTGCAGTGATGCTCAGTACAGTCCCCTCACAGGGACAGGTGTGACAGGGAAGCAGCTGCCCCGGAAGAACTACACGCACACCTCTTGCACTAACTGTGGCCATGATCTTGCTCTCATCATAGAACATGAAGGGAAGTGATGTGTCACTTCTAGGCCACCTCGGCAGAGTGCTAGGGGGGTCTGTCCCCTGGTCTGTCTGCCCATCCCCATCTGAATGGAGACCACTCCCAAGGGGCAGAGGGGAAGACAGTCCTTTCTTTTTTGGATGGGGGTAGGGTGATGATCGAAACCTGCACCCCCAAGTCATTGCTTGGAAGTGAGCCACCTGATTACAACGTGAGCAAGAAATGATGTGAGAGAGAAATGAATCGAGATTGCTGGGAGAAATAGCAATAACCTCAGATATGCAGATGACACCACCCTTATGGCAGAAAGTGAAGAAGAACTAAAGAGTCTCTTGATGAAAGTGAAAGAGGAGAGTGAAAAAGTTGGCTTAAAACTCAACATTCAGAAAACTAAGATCATGGCATCTGGTCTGATCACTTCATGGCAAATAGATGGGGAAACAGTGGAAACAGTGAGAGACTTTATTTTCTTGGGCTCCAAAATCACTGCAGATGGTGACTGCAGCCATGAAATTAAAAGACGCTTGCTCCTTGGAAGAAAATCTATGACCAACCTAGACAGCATATTAAAAAGCAGAGACATTACTTTGCCAACAAAGGTCCATCTATGGTTTTTTATAGTCAAAGCTATGGTTTTTTCCAGTAATCATGTATGGTTGTGAGAGTTGGACTGTGAAGAAAGCTGAGCACTGAAGAATTGATGCTTCTGAACTGTGGTGTTGGAGAAGGCTCTTGAGAGTCCCCTGGACTGCAAGAAGATCCAACCAGTCCATCCTAATGGAAATCAGTTCTGAATATTCATTGGAAGGACTGATGCTAAAGCTGAAACTCCAATACTTTGGCCACCTGATGCAAAGAACTGACTCATAGGAAAGGGCCTTGATGCTGGGAAAGATCGAAGGCAGGAAGAGAAGGGGACGAAAGAGCTTGAGACGGTTGGATGGCATCACCGACTCAGTGGACATGAGTTTGAGTAAACTCCAGGAGTTGGTGATGGACAGGGAGGCCTGGCGTGCTGCAGTCCGTGGGGCTGCAAAGAGTTGGACACGACTGAGCGGCTGAACTGAACTGAACTGAGAAATGAACTTCTGTCCTGATAGGACCAGTGTTCATTTGGTTGTTTGTTGTGACAGCTGGTCCTCCCCGGGGGGAAGCTGCTCCCCTTCCCATCACTCTCCCCTCTGCCATCTTTGGACACACTCTCTTCTCCCATGTGGCTGCTAGGCCTCCAGCCCAGCCTCAGACCAGCTCCCTGGCGGACCGTGGTAGCTTTCTTTTGACTTTAAAAGGCTTTCATGGATCAAGTTTTCCTCCTTTAACTGTGAGAGCATCTAAGACTTGAATTAAGAATTGAGGGGTGGGACTTCCCTGGCGGTCCAGTGGCTAAGACTCTACACTTCCAACCCAGGGGGTGTGGGTTCCGTCCCTGTTTGGGGAACTATGATCCCACATGCCATGGGACACAGCCAAAAAAGTTAAAAAAATTAAGGGGGAATGAAGTGGGCCTCACACTTGGCCCTACACTTGGACGCAGGAGGGCCACTTGGTCTGGCTGTCACGTCCACAAAGGGCCTCAGATTTCAACCCTGTTTTTACCTCCGATGAGGTTCAACCTACTAGCGCAGCAGTGCTCTGCCAGGATGGAAAAGAAGAGACATTCGTTCATCACGTGGTGATGATTTCTCCTACCACTGGACTGTGCAGCCATTGATGCCTTCTGAATTCATTTTATTTTTACAAATCCTATAATTAATCTGTGATGAACACTGTTATAGTGCATTGCGGTTTCTATGGAAACAGTGATCTGTCATTAAATGTTACCATTTGACATAATCTAAAATTGCTTGTAGCTGTTTTTGCATTTCTCCTTTTTTTTTATATGTGTGGCGCTTCAACAGCTGCAAATGGTCTAACCTCTCTTGACTTCTAAGAGGCCCTGGCCTCGTCTTTTGCTATGAGATTATTTAGTAAATAACTTGGGGAAATGGGACTCGCCCCGCCCCCAATCCTGCCCAAGCTTTGGGATCAAAGCTTCAGCTAGCATCAAAGCACAGCTTCACTGTGCGTATCTCCTTTTGTATCCTTTGGGCATTACACTCACCTTGGGGTCCCTCGGGGAGGGGAACTATCATCTAGGCCCCACTTTCCACACCTTGATCACACCCATCCTGAGCCCCTCACCTCCGTGTTCACCACCATATTGCACATGCACTCCGTGGCCGCCTGCCGCAGCTGGTCATGGTTCTCAAACATGTAGTTCTCAATGTCCGGCAAGGCCTTCTCCTTAACGATCTTCTTCCTAGGGTGTGAGGGGTGGAGGAGGAGAGTCTGCTGAGTCCTCTATAAAGACCATTGGGGGTTTTGAGCCACCCAGGGGCCATTCCAACATCCTCAGTCAGCACAGTTTCAGTTCAGTTCAGTTGCTCTGAACTCTGTGTCCAACTCTTTGTGACCCCAGCATCGTTTAGATGACAATAATCCCACCCCCGGGCTTCCCTGGTGGCTCAGTGGTGAAGAATCTGCCTGCCAGTGCAGGAGACGCAGGTTCAATCCCTGGATCGGGAAGAGCCCCTGGAGAAGGAAATGGCAACCCACTCCAATACTCTTGCCTAGGAAAGCTCATGAACAGAGCAGCCTGGCAGGTTATAGTCCACGAGGTCTCAAAAGAGTTGGACACGACTTGGTGACTAGAACAATACCAACAACTATCCCACCCCCGGAGGGGCCCCCAGCGACATAGCACAGCATCCTGGCCATAGCAGTGGGATCTCAGATGAACATGTCACCCAGCTGGTGATCCTCCTGTATTATCACAGGAGAAAGTCTCTCTCTCCTGCTGGAGATGAAACCATGATGTGAGGTCTGGAGTAACCCTCGTGTGACCATGAGAAAGGGGAAAAGCCTGTCTGAGAATTAAGACAATACAGACAGGAGAGCAGGAGAGAAGTGGATTCTGGGACAGCTTTGTAACCCCTGCCTCAAGCCACCCCTGAGTCTGGATTATCCTAGATGAGTCATTAATTATGACTCCCAATATCCTGAATCATTAAATTCCCCATTATGCTGAGACCAACTGGAGTTGAGTTTTCTGCCACTTAAAGAATTTCAGCCCAATTCCACCATCCCCTTGCTTCCAAGGAGGAATATACTTTATCCCAGCCCTCAACCACCTGATACTTTTTTACTACTTCCAAAGGACGTGTCTTTCCAGTCTCCTTTGGCTTTGCACCTTCACTGCAGTCTTTCCAAGTGCTAGCTCACGTCCCCCCCACCGCCATTTCTACCCACGGCCTTCGAGCCTGTCCTCGGAGGAGCGGACACACAGTTGCCCACAGACCAACACTTCACGTGACATGGCTCTCCACCTGTTCCCTCCACCCACTCACCGGAGCTTGTCACTCCGCCCAGACAGGTTGGTGAGGCCTAGGAGAGCCTCATAGTTCTGGAGGCCATCCCGCTGTGTGTTCAGGAGACTCACGAGGGGCCGCACCACCTCGTACACCTATGAGGAAGGGGTAGAGGAGTCGTCAGATGGAGACCACCTCCGCCAGTCATTTACAGGTGCCTGGCTCTAGGATTTCCAATGCACTTGCCCACCTATTGTCTGATTCCACCTCCACAATGATCCCGAGGGGTGGCGTTAATTCCTTGACTTTGCAGATGAAACAGCCTGTTTGTCAGAGCCAGGGGTGGAATCCATGCCCCTCCAACTCATTGTCCTCTTTGTGATGGCACCATGCCCCCTCCCAAGCCAGGGAGAGGGTGACAAGAAGAAAGACCCCTCGGAGCAGACTCCTCCCATCACCTCCCCGCCCTCCACCTCTGGCCACCCACCCGCTCCCCGGGGAAGGCGATGTCTGGGTTGGAGACCGCGGCGATCTTCGCGAGGGCGTGGGCTGCCTTCACCTTGCCCACGTCTGTGCCCTCCAAAGCCAGGGGAATCAGGGCCTGCAAGAAAAGGGCAGAGGCACTCCTTGGTCACATATACAGAAGTGTCTTTTCCCAGCCTCCCTGTCCAGCCGCTGTCTGTTCCATCAGAAGTTCAGGAAGACTCAGCAACGGAGTCAACTCTTGAGCATTACAGAAAACAGTTCAATTCTTAATCACTGATTCACTTCCCCTGGTCCCCAGCGCACATGGGGGTCTCTGCAGGCACTCTCCCCAACCCATATACATTTGTTTGGCTTTTAGAAAAATCAAGATGCTGATGTTTTTCTTTCTACCTAAGTCAAAGCTAATTGTAACAGCAGCCATTCACTGAGCACCCCCCACGAGCCAACACTTTAAGTGTATTTTCTCTAATCCTGTGACATTCTACAGTCTGACTGTGTGATGTTTTTTCCCTTGTTTTACAGAGAGGAAACTAGGACTCAGAGAGATAAGTAATTTGCCCAAAGCTGTGCAGCTGAAAAGGGACAAGCCTCCCAGAGCAAAGCCCATGGTCTCTGTCTGCACTGCTTCCTTCCAATAGCAAGGAGGATAAATGGGATTCCACAGGAGATCCCGTGACACATCAGAGACTCAGGCACAGACAACAGAGGTTCCTGAATAACCGTATTCCAAGAGGTCAGCCTGGGGCAGGGAGTGCATTATTCTTGGGCTAGGCAAAGAGCATGCACACACACATACACACAGATACACACATGCATCACATACACACGGAGACACAAGCACACACGTGAGAGAGCTCCTCCCCAGGGGAGCACCTTCTTGGATGGCAAGAACCTTCTCCCAATTACCTTACCACCACCTTGAGCCACAATGGTACCTCGGTCCTTTGGGTTGTCGCACAGTGCCAGGAATACCCTGGGGGGCAAGGATGCAGGACGTGAGCACGCCCTTCCCGGGCATCAGCAGGCCAACTCGTGAGACCCAGTAAAACCCTGGGAAGCACTCCCAGTGTGCACCTGCCCCAGAACCAACCTTGGGAAGATACTGCCATGGACCTGAGTGGCTGGGGAGGAAGAGAGCCAAAGGCAGCTGCAAAAAGTAGCCCCATGCCTGCTTAGGGGGATACCAAACGGCTCACTAGGCTTCCCTGGTGGCTCAGATGGTAAAGAGTCTGCCTGCAATGCAGGAGACCCAGGTTCAATCCTAGGGAAGATCCCCTGGAAAATGAAATGGCAACCCACTCCAGTATTTTTGCCTGGAAATTTCCATGGACGAAGGAACCCAGCAAGCTACAGTCCACCACCCAGGAGAAATTCTTCCACCTGGAGGGACCCTGGAACTCCACAATCTGGCCCTTGCCTTCCTCTCTGGTCTTATCTAGCACCGCCCTCTCCTGTGCACTCCACGCTCCAGACACCTTCCTCTGGTGTGTCCTCATTCATGCCTTCTCCCTCCATCCTCAGGGTCTTTGCATGTGCTGTTCGCTCAGACTGGACCCCTTCCCTCCGCTGCATGTGAGCAGCTTCCTTCTTCCAGGGTTCCCTTGAGTTGTCACATCTTCCAGGAGGCCTTCCTGGCTGCCCACCTACATGCCCTCCCCTCTGGCCAGTGGGCTGCCACTGCTTGTGCTGTTTGTCCCCCATCACGGCACCCACTGCGCTGTGACGGTGAGCCTGTCTGCCTCCCCATCAGGCTGTACGGAAACTGTGCCTTTCCCCTCTGGCATGTCAGGGTCTGGGAACCAGGTCACCAGGACGGACAGTGACCTCCTTCCTCCCAGTGCAAACTTGCACCCGGGGTGGCCCACCCTGACATGTCGCTCTTCCGTGTTGATCCCCTTCAGCCTCCTCTCCAGGCCCCAGGGGCTCACTCCCTCATTTACTCCGCCGGCCATCTCTATGTCCCCACCCAGCCTCCTGCCTGCAGGCCCCTTAGACCCCAGCTCCGGGCCACTGCAGCCGCACCTGGCCAGCAGCTCTTTTGTCTGGTCAGTGAGAATGGCATTATCTGCTTTCACCATGCAGACCAGCGCCGAAGTGACGCCAGCCTTCAGAAGCCGCTTCACTCGCATGTCCACAAAGTCTTTCTTGTCCTGGGAAGATGAAAAGGTGGCAAGGAGATCAATCCTGGAATAAAGAAGATTATCCCAAACACTAGAAGCCTTTCCTTGCAAAAGGCTGGCTTTCCATTAGGCTATGCCTGGGGGCAGAGTGAGAAGGGAGAGAGAGCAGATAAAACCCACAAAACAACAGATTGGATTTTGAGTGAAACCCAGAGTCAGCCTCAGGGTTGAATACTCTCTACAGATAAACCAAAAAGTGTCTGAGAAGAGGCTGCTGACAGTTGTGGACAGTCTCTGGCAGCCACATTTGAACTTCACAGTGGCAGAACATGCTAGCTATATGCCCTTGCCTGCATGAAATCCTATGCAGCTGGAAAAAATTATTCAGGGACTTCCCTAGTGGTCCAGTGGCTAAGAGTCCGCCTGCCAATGCAGGGGGCATGAGTTCTATCCCTGGCCCAGGAAGACCCCATATGCTGAAAGGCAGCTAAACCTCTGAGCCACAACTACCAAAGCCGATTGGCCTAGAGCCTGTGCTCCACAAGAAAAGCCACCGCAATGAGAAATCTGCACCACGATGAAGAGTAGCCCCACACTCGACACAACTAGAGAAAGCCTTGCACAGCAACAAAGACCCAGTGCAGCCAAAAATAAATATTAATTAATTTTTAAAAAATGATTCAGTGGGACTTCTGGTGGTTAAGACTCCAAGCTTCCACTGCAGGGGGGTTTGGGTTAGATCCCTGCTGAGGAAACTAAGATTCTGCATGCCTAAAGACCTGAAGTATTTCCCCCAAACTGGATACAAGATGATAGATACATTCTGATTATTACTTTTTTTTTTTTAAGCACAGGATAAAAAGCCTCAGGTAGTTAATGCAACACACCAAAATCCAGATATCCCAGAAAATAAAATTTGTATGAATGTTGAAAACATGAACTATAACAAACTGTCTTGTGTCCATGAAATCAACCACATAAGTTGCAAAACATTCATCGCGACTCCATTTGGTTTCTCAGACTATAAATTGTTTCCCCCTCCACCTCAATGGAACATTTAAACTAAGAAAAAACACAAGTGCCACCTAGTGGGGGAAATTGACCGTGATCCTCTTCAATTTATCTGCGCGCGTGCGCGCTACGTTACTTCAGTCCGTGTCTGACTCTTTGCAACCCTTTGGGCTGTAACCCGCCAGGCTCCCCTGTCCATGGAATTCTCCAGGCAAGAATACTGGAGTGGGTTGTCATTTCATTCTCCAGGGGATCTTTAAGACCCGGGGATCAAACCCAGGTCTCCTGTATTGCAGGTTCTTTACCATCAGAGCCAGCAAACCTGCACTTTATCTGCATCTTCTGCCAAATCCTCACACACGTGCGCGCGCGCACACACACACACACACCCCCGAATATCACTAACTTTCCATCCCACCTCTCTGGCGGTCCGGTGGTGGAAAGCCCCCTCCCCTCTCGGCCGTCCTCATCCCCACCTTGGGGTGCTCCTCGGGCACATGCTGCTTGGAGAACTTGGCCAGCTGCACCAGCTCGGGGATGACCTCCTTGACATCGTAGCTGTTGGTGCAGTTCACCAGGGTGGTGGCCACTGAGTACAGAATGGTCTTGTCTGGAGTCTGGAGACGGGAGGTGGTGGATGGTGGTAGGAGTGGGCGGGTGGAGACAGGAAGAAAGGAAACCTGAGAACAAACCACTGCTTCCCAGAGGCTCCCTTGCAGGCAGGCTGCTCTGGGAGGAGTGTGGCCGGTGAAGCATCAAGGCAGAGGAACTGGCTCTGCTCACGTGGGGCAGCAGGAATTTCTCCCGCCCCCTCAACAGCACCCAGAGCATGCACGGAAGTCTTCTGAGTGTTCCCATTGCTTTGTGCTCCTTTCAAAAGCCCAGCGGGACGGGGCGGGACCTGGACACCCTCTGATGGAAACACCCTCCCACACTTCTGCCTTTTGTGGTGAGAAAGAGCCATTGGTGGGGTGGGGGGGCCGGTGGTGGCCCAACAGAGGAAGAAAGGCATCTGGGAGGGGCTGGGAAGGAGGGAAGGGGCCCAAAAAAAGACCTCTTGGTCCCTCAAGACCTCACTCCCAGAGGGGGTTCCAGGAAAAAACTACCATCATCTTGTTCATCCGCCCACTGCCAGGAAGGCCTGAGGAGTTGTGAGTCCATTTCACAGTCAGGAAAGATGAGGACCAGACAGAAGGAAATGACCAACCCAGGTTTACGTGATGAGAAGGGGGTGGAGTCAGGATGAGGATGGGTGGATGTCCAATTTCCCAGGCTCAGCGGACAGCCCGTGGGCCTGAATCCAGCAGATCCCAGGGCTAGAGGTCAGGGCCACACTTGCCTTGGCCAGCTCGAACATGGCCTGCAGGGCAGGAATGTCCTGAACAAAGTCGTCCTTCACGTCGGCATCCAGCGTGAGGTAGGCCAGGCCCTCCACCGCCCATTTCCGGGTCCGGGTGTCTATGGATGCATTGCACAGCCACCTGTGGGAGGGGAGGCACTGGGGAAGGGTCCCGGGGCTCCGGGCAAGAGCGAGGTGATCCAGGGGAGCAGGCAGGTGGGCGGCCTTTCAGGATCTGGTGTCCGCTAGGGCACATCCCAGAGAGGAGATGGTGGGCTTGGGGAAAAACCTTACTTGCGACACTGTTTGGCCAGCTTCTCTGTCGAGCCTTCAGCAAACTGCCTGAGAGCGTAATCTGTGCCGCCCGCAGAGCCGAGTTTACAGAGTCCCTGAGAAGGAGGGGAGGTTTGTAGGATCAGAGACACCAGGCTTGGGGACCAGGCCCTGCTCAAACATGTCCCTGAGGCTGGAATACTCTGCCCACTTGCTTTTCCTGGATATACCTCTCTGCATCCTACAGAATTCTGGTCAGGTGTCACCTCTCCCAAGATGCCTTCCCTGAGGCTTCCAGGCTAGGGTGGAAGCCCACAAACCTGGAGGCTTTTACTCCACCCCTTGTCCCCTGCCCACTATTTTATCCCCATAAGTGCTTCGTGTTGTGTCGTTTTGAAAAATCAGCTAGGATAATATTAGTGTTAGTCGCTCAGTTGTGTCTGACTCTGCAATTCCATGTACTGTAGCCCACCAGGCTCCTCTGTCCATGGAATTCTCCAGGCAAGAATACTGGAGTGGGTAGCCATTCCCTCCTCCAGGAGATATTCCTGACCCAGGGATCTAACCTGGGTCTCTGCCTTGCAGGTAGATTCTTTACCATCAGAACCAGTAGGGAAGCCCAAATACTAACACAACTGAAACCTCAGTGATAAAACTTATGGAACAAAATCTGACCATGAAATCACTTTGTGGGGGGAAGATTCAGACATGCAGATTTTTACCCAGGAAAAATTGGACTCTTGCTGGGGGAAAAAAAAAGTCTGTCTTCCATAAGAGAAAACTCACAATAGTAGAAGCTAAAATCAGTTTTTTAAAAAACTGATATAAACCAAAAAAGAAAAACAGATCAATGGCTCAAATCTTCACTGTAATTGTTGACAAGAAAAAGGTCAATGAAAGTAATTTCTATATAATGAAAATGGGAAAAAATGCAGTAGGTTTAACTGTGCTATATAGAAACCAAGTAAGGAAACTAACTGCATTTTTGGAATCTGCACTGAAAGTACTTGCTGGACAAAAGCTCATCAGCATTTGAGTCGTTCAAAGGCGTCGAGCAGGGACTTGTTGGTGATCCATTGGTTAAGACTCTGCTCCCAATGCAGGGGGCATTTGATCCCTGTTGGGGGAACTAAGATCCCGCATACCCCATGGTAAAAAAAAAAAAAGGAGACAGTCATTATATAGCATAGTCTCCCATCCTGAATCCACATTCTCACAGTCTTCTGCTTATCACTCTGCTCTGCAGAGGCCTGTGGGCGCATCTGGGTGCCTACAGCTTGGTTTCCTCAAAGACAGGGGCCACATCCCATTCATTCCGGCATCCCTGGTACCTGGTGCGGTGTCTGGTACCCAGCCCACTCACCACCAGCGCGCGGATCTTGATCTTCTCGTTTTTGGTGGTCTTGTAGATCTCTTTGAGCAGTGACACACCGTTGGTGATGATGAAGGTGGCACGGCTGAGCTTGGTGGAGGCGTGGATGAGGGCCTCCACGGCCACCAGCTGGTCTGTCTCACGCTCCGAGCCGCACAGCGCCACCATCATCTCCATCACACCTTTCAGTCCCAGCAGCTGATTGCCCAGGTCAAAGGGGCCCTGCAGGATCCCCGACACCGTCTGGATGGCAATCACATTCTTGTCCATGTCCTGGGGGTCAAACGTGCCCCTAAAACAGAAGGCCAGTGTGGTCAGAGGAGTGGGAGATTTGGGGGTAGACAGGTTTGGTTGTGCATCCTAGATCCACAATTCATATGCTGTGTGGCCTAAGGCAAGTCACTGAACCTCTCTGAGCCTCAGCTTTTTGATTTGGAAACTGAGGACAGCACTACTACTTCTCAGAGTTATGATGATAGATGACATAGTGGATGTGCCAGGCGTTGTGTTCCTCAAGAATCCCACCCAGATGAGGACTGACACTCAGGACGTTTGTTAGGGAGCGATCTTGGGTGCAACACCTGTTGGAAAAGGGAAGAAATCAGGACTGGAGGGAGGGAGGCGCTGAACTGCGATGCAGTCATGACAAAGCCTCAGCTTGCAAAGAGTTCCAGAGCTGAGACACCATTCAAACTTGTTCCAAGTTGGAGTGAGGGATGAACCACGGAATGCTGGTTGCCCTGGGAAGGTGAATAGCTATCCTTTGCTGAACCAAGCCCCCAAAGAAAGGTGACAGGTGAGAGCTGTCAGCCAACAGGCTTCCCAGAAGCTGGGGTGTCTGGTGGGACAGGAAAGCAGCCACCCCAGCACAACAGGGCTACCATGGTGCCTGGCACACCAGTTGACTCCCCGATGTAGCTGAATCATAATGCAGCCTGGCCCAGTCGCTCCCCTGTCTGGTCCTAGCCTTTCCCCCAATGAGTTAGGGGGAGGGGATGGACCAGAAAAGCTGGCAGGTTCTGTCTTGCTTTCAAAATCCACTATCATCGACTCTACAGGAAGATCTCTGTCTGAGGACGCCTGATCCGAGATTTGCCCAGGTTTGTTCGTTGTGGGGGACACAGTGCGAATGCAGAGGAGTACAAGTGAAAGGAGAGCATGGCGCAAGAGTCAGAGGCCTGGGCTCCGGTCCCACATCTGCCTCTGGCTGGGTGAGTGGGTGGGTCCATCTGGGGGAGAGGGGCTGGCTTTGGGAGCTCCGAGAGCCCCTCCAGCCCAGACAATCCGTGCCCTGTGCTTCACCTCCCTTCTCGGTGCTGGGGAACCCAGAGCCTTTCCTGACTGTGGCCCTTGTGCCACAGTACCGAGCTGGTGCTCTAGAGCCTGAGAGCTGCAACTACTGAAGCCCCCGGGCCTAGAGCCTGTGCTCCGCAACGAGAAGCCCAGGCATCACAGCTAGAGAGTAGCCCCCACCTGCCGGAACTAGAGAAAGCCCGCACGCAGCAGTGAAAACCCAGCGAAGCCATAAACAAATAAATTTAAAAAAATAATAATGATGAGTTGAGGTCTGTCCTTTAAACCAATGCCAACTGGTATCTGAACCTCCACCCAGCCCCTGGACCCCGACAAAGCACCCCATGGGGGTGGGAGGTGGCAGCCTCAGGCTTCACTTGTTGAAGGTGGTGGCCCCCTGACTTCAGGGCCAGGTGTCCACAGAGGCGGCATTCACAGGCAAACCTCTATCCAAACTTAACTGGCTGGGAGGTAGTTACTGGAACTCGGTTTGGGCCTTCATGAAAGACTCAAGTTAGCTGCAAACACTGAAGCTGAGGTAGAAAAAGACCATTGAGAAGCCCTGAGGAGCCTTAAAAGTGACTCAAAGTTGGGATCAGGAGAAACTATGGGATTGAGCCAACTTCGCTGGGACCCAAATACAGGAAGCTGAGAATGTTTTTTACATTTTAAAGTAGTTTATTTTTTTTCATTGTGTTAGAGACCTACGTGTTTCATAAAACCTAAACATACTCTCTGGCCCTTTACAGGAAGTCTGTCAACCCCTGGAATACAGAAAGGAAAGCAGAGTGAAGGCAGGGTTTCCACCCTCCCAAGACTCACCTAGTGCTTTTAAAACATGCAGCTTCCAGAGCCACAACCCAGACTACTGAGTCCCAGAAATCCAAATAATTTCCAAGCTTGAGGATTACTGGAGTAAAGGAAAAGAGAAGCCAGCTACCACGAGAGATCCACACGGGGAAGAACCATGGCTTCCACCCAAGGGCGAGCACCAACGTGCCGGCCACATGAGCACAGCATCTTGGTAGGTCTTCCAGCCCCGGTCCAGCCTTCGGATGACAGTAGCCCAGGCCAACATGTGACTAATTTGTAAACCCTAAAGCCAGAACCACCCAGCCGAACCTCTGCCAAATTGCTGTCCTATTGTGAGATAATAAATGATGCTTCTGTTTTAAGCTGCTAAATTTGACTAATACAGAACCGAACTGAAATGGAGCAGGACCCTTTGGTCCTTTCCCACCATGTCCTCAGTCTGTCTTCGGTTTGTGGAAAAACTAGCCAAACAACAAATTTAATCAGAGACGTGGGAAAATGCAGAAACAAAGGAAAACAGTCAAATGAGACCAAATAATAATAGTTTAGTCACTAAGCTAAAGCCAAGGGCCTTTAGTTTCTCCTCAAAGGTCATAGATAAAATTCTGAGCCATATCCTGTGAGCTGTCTTATAGATACTGAAACCCTCGCCAGGTGGAAGAAGTCAATATGTGATGACTGGACTGTGGCCATGATATATGGTGCCACAGTTCTCAGAAGTGGCCTCAAAGAAATGGGAACAAACCCGACCCTGGAACTAAAGACTAAATGGACTGAAAACAATCAAGATGATGCTGGTCAGACCACTGATGACCAATTTCAAGGCGACTGTCAGAGCTGACTGTGCTGTTTCCGTGTGTAGCGCCCCTCCCTCCATCTATAAAAATTCTTGCCCACTGATTGTCAGTGGGGTGGGGGCGGGGGGAGAGGTCAGCCTTTGGACAGGAGTCCGCCCTCCCCTCCACCCCCAGGTTGCCGGCCTCTGAAATAAAGCCAGCTTTCCTTCCCATCAGCCTTGCCTCTTTATTGGCTTTCGATAAGCAAGCAGCCAGACCCCCACTCGGTGACACGGCCCTCCGGGAAACTCACGTGATATACTCCTCGCAGATCTTGCGGAAGTGATCGCGCTCAGGGTCACAGCGCAGGTCGTCGTAGAGCTTGTTGATGAGGATCGAGGCCAGCATGCGGGTGTTGTCGGTCAGTGGCAGGCAGGACGGCAGATCTGGGACCTGCCCCACCACCTTCAGGATCTTCCTTAGGCCTGCAGGACAGCCGGCAGCAAGTGTAAGATGCCGGCCAGGCCCCGCCCTCACAAACGCCCCTCCTCGCCCAGCTCTCTGCAGCCCGCCTTTAGGCAGCACGCAGCTCATCCAGCGTGAAGGGCCCTGGGATGCAGCCTAGAGACCCAGACTCCACACCTGCCTCTGCCCCTAGCTGAGCCATTCACTCCCGTCGTGGGCCTCATTTTCACATTTACACAGTCAAGACTAGTTGAGCTCAGAGGACTCTACAAGGCATCACGGACTCGATGGACATGAGTTTGAGCAAGCTCGGGAGTTGGTGATGGACGGGAAGCCTGGCGTGCTGCAGTCCATGGGGTCACAAAGAGTCGGACACGATTGAGCGACTGAACTGACTGACCGGTGCTAACGTTCTGTGGGTTGATGTATAATCTTCCTCAAGTACTGTTTTATAGTCTCTTTTCCCCAGGATTCAGTTTCTTTTTTTTTGTAAAATGGGAATGATACTACCCTACCTCATAGAGTTTGAGGATTCACCAAAATAAAGCACGGAAACATTAGCCTAGTGCTGATCTAGACACATCATGACACTAAATATTTATTAATTATTCAGCAAATAGGATATTCACCATTATGGTTATTACCCCTGCTCCTGTTGAAGAATCTCCAAAGGCTTCCTACTACCCACCCGGCTAATTCAGCCATTACATATTTGTTGAATAAAAGAATGAATGAGTAAACGAGGTGCTAGCTACCAAAATAAAGGACAACCCTGATGCCAAAAAGTTCACAATACAATAGAGAAGATAGATGTATAAAGATTACATAAGGTAATCTTGCTGTGCCAAGAGCTTTCTACACACTATCTCATTTAATCCTAACATTGACCTTACTGGTGAGTAGAAATTTCTATTGCCATTGTTCAGAGCAGAAAACCAAGACATGGAGAAGTCAAGTAACTTGCTCAAGATCACAAGGCTGGCAATTGACATAGCAGGGACCCTCCCTGTCTGATTTCAAAGACCACGATGTTAACTGTGAGGCTACCCTGCCTCGGGGACAATAGCTTGATTTCAGAGCCAGGTTGTAGTGGTGGCTAGGAGCTGATCAGACCTACGGTGGCACAGGTTAAGAGGGAGGGGGGACATTCTAGGTAAACGTTGGGAGGCATGATACTCTGGATCAGGGCCGGGGGCGATTAAAAGTGCCTGGCAGTAAATTTTGTGCTGTGTATTTTAGCACACCAACACAAAAGCACTGGTAAGACTGAAGAGTCACTGGAAGGTGTCTGATGAACCAACCCCACCTCCCAGCCTGGCTCTCCAAAGCCTTCATCACATGCACCTGATCCACCTACCCAGCCTCATCTCTTAGCTTTCCCTTCACTCTGCCCTCATCTCGAGCATCTCATTTCTCTTCTGCTAGAACACCCTGGACCTCCCCTTTGTCCATGTCTGCCCCTCCCTGAGCCCAGAAACTCAATCCAGCCTTGACATCCTGATGACTCCCCCTACCCAAGTCCCCCAGCCCAGTTTTCACAACAAACAACTTCCACATTGCAGCTTTTCACCAGACACCTAGATTTTAAAGTCTACGCTATTTTTACCTAAATGCTACTCATTTCGGTGCCTAGAATAACAGATACTGTTCCTTACCCACTCTATCCCATAAACCGTGTTGTTCAGCCTAGATCCTAGTGCAGAGAGAAGTCTATTGTCAACGCCCAGCCTTTGTGATATGCGCAAAGAAGACCAGAACTGGGGCAGGGAGGGAGGGGAGTGTTGAGTGGAGGAGGCTTAAGCACTAGAGGAATACGTTCAAGTCTAAGCACCTGCGCATGGACTTTGCTGAGATCTTCGAAAACCAAACAAGAGAAGTGCTGTATCAAAACAGAATAAAGGTCAAGCTGATAAAAGCTGGCTTGAACATTTTAGAAAAGGTATGGTCTAAATGTCATGATACCTGTGGGAGAATTTATCACAACAGATCATAAAGCCATAAGTATGATTCCTGAAGAATCGAAAGTGACTTAGGGCATCTCCAGGGGTCATGCCCTGGAGCTGACAAATTTAATGGATGTTTTCTGGAGCACTGTTACTGGTCTTTGTATAAAGTACACTGAAGTCATTGCTCCCTTCTGGAAGGCCTGCATTTTGCCAGTGTGAGACTTCAGAAATGTTACTCCCATTGGTGGAGTTTTGTTTGGATTTTTTGGCATTTGCCTCACTTGTCAGGAAACTCTGCCCAGATGTTTTTGACTGTGTTGTGTGCGTTCAGGCTCTGAATTCAGAGCCTGGACCTACACCTTCACCAGTCCACTGGAGGATCCTAACATGCTAATGTCTTTTCCTGGCTTTTCAGTTGGGAATGAAGACCTCTCCCAGATAAGAGCCACACTCCTTCCGCCTTCTGCTTGTTGCCTGGTACCCTGGTGCCCACTGGAAAGGCTGGCATGTGCCCCAGGCCCTCCCACCTCCTCACCGTTATCAACCACATAGATGGTGCGGGAGTTATCGTGAATGGCGAGATCCTTCCTGGGGACGTTCTTGTTGAGCAGGTTCAGGGCCTGATCCCTGCCCTGGCCGGACACCTTCTTACTGACCAGCATGTCAAGCAGGTGGTTGGTGATCTGCTTCAGGTCCTTCTTGGAGTCTGAGGAAGGAGAGGACAGGGGTGAATGGAGAGGACTACGATGTCTGAGGTATACAGGACCCGGGATGGCTGGGACTTCTGGAAGGACTCTGGAAATATCGAATCCACTGCTTCTCAGATCTTGGAATTTCCCGGGAGAGTATCCTGTCTCATTCCAAAGAAGGGAGGGAGACTTCTAGACAACACCCCCAAGGGTGGTCAGAAAGGGGGTGGCAGAGGATGAGGTGGTTGGACGGCATCACCAACTCAATGGACATGAATCTGAGCAAACTCCAGGAGATAGTGAAGGACAGGGAAGCCTGGCATGCCTACAGTCCATGGGGTCACAAAGAGTCAGACATGACTTAGTGACTGAATAACAACATCCAAGTTGAATTCCAACGTCATTAATTAGATATTTATATGAATGGATAGAAAAAAAAAAGACCGGAAAAGGACTTCCCAGGTGGTACAGTGGGTAGGAATCTGCCTGCCAATGCAGGGGACACAGGTTGATCCAGACATCTTACTGGGAAGGTCTGGAAAGATCCCACATGCTGAGAGCAACTAAGCCCGTGCACCACAGTTATTGCCCCCCCAGTCTAGAGCTTGCGACTTCTAAAGCCCATGTGCCTAGAGCCTGTGCAACAAGGGAAGCCACTGCACCGCAACGAAGAGCAGCCCCATGCACCACACCCAGAGAAAGCCCATGCACAGCAGTGAAGATCCAGTGCAACCAAAAATAAAATTAAGTAATTAGTTAGTGTAAAAAATGTGTTTTTAAAAAAAGAAAAAAGACTGGAAACTTTCCCATGGCAGTGATAATAGTCATTATCTGGAGGGATATTTTCAGGTCGTTGGGTTTTTTTTTTTTTTAATTTTTACGTATTTCTAAAATTTTCCAAGTTTCTCCAATAAGCCTCTGTTACTTTTTTAAAAACAATTTTGTTTATTTATTTTTGGCTGGGCTAGGTGTTCGTTACTGCGTGAGCTTTTCTCTAGTTGCGGTGGATGGGGGCTACGCTATAGTTGCCAGGTGCAGGCTTTTCTTTGCAGTGGCTTCTTTTGTTGCAGAGCACAGCCTCTAGGGTGCAGACGCTTCAGCTGATGCGGCTCCCAGGCTCTAGAGCACAGGCCCAATAGTTGCTCCGAGGCGTGTGGGATCTTCCTGGATCAAACCCACGTCTCCTGCACTGGCAGGTGGGATCTTTACCACTGAACCACCAGTTACTTTTTAAAACTTTTTTCATCTTGCAAAACTGAAATTCCCGTTAAACATCTCATTTCCTCCTCCCCCCGACCCTGGCAACCATCATGCAACTTTCTGTTTCTATGAGTTTGACTGTTTTAGAAAACACAAGGAATTCCTTGGTGGTCCACTGGGTAGGACTCTATGCGTCCACTGCAGGGGGCACGGGTTTGATTCCTAGTCAGGAAACTAAGGTCTGGAGCTGAAAGGAAAACGAAGAAGCCTCATATATGTGACATATACAGTATTCGTGTTTTTGTGACTTAACATAAGGCCCTCAAGTTTCATCCATGTTGCAGCCTATGTCATTTCCTGCCTTTTTAAGGCTGAACAATATTCCATTGTAGAGACAGACACCACGTTTTATTTCTCCATTCATCCATAGATGGGCACTTGAGTTGCTTCCAACATTTTTGCTCTCGTAAATGTGACTGTGCCTCTGTTATTTTTATAGTCAAAAAATAAATGGAAAAATATAACCAGGCCACCACTACATACATGAATGCTCAGTCTGAGGTAGTAACTGGCACTTCCTTGCCCCCCTCCCCGAACCAAAGTTGAAAACCATCTCCTACCCAGAACCAGGGCCTCTTCTTTCCCCCGAGGCTCCTGTTTGTCCTCCCCAGACAGAGCGTCGATGATGGCCTGGAGCAGGTTGCAGACGGCCAGGGACATCTCCTCGTTCTCCACGGCCATGAGGCTGCAGATTCGGTCTATCCGGACTGCGTGGAGGATTGCTGTGGCCTAGACACCCCCAGCGAGAAGCACAAGGTCAGTTGGCTGCCCCTCCCTTCCACTGCCATGCAGGTTAGGGCGGGTGAGGGCCGTCCCATGCAGTCGGGACAGAAGCCCAGGCAGCCGCTGTCTCATGGGGCCTGTGGCCCCAGGCAAGCCCCGGACTCAAGCCATGCCCCTTTCCAGAGGGATAGAGCTGCGCCCTCCAGTACGGTGGCCTCTCGCCCCAGGGGAGGCTCTGAAAGTGTGCAACACAGCAAGTTCCCACTGAGATGGGCTGTGCCTGTAAAACACACACTGGGTTTTCAAGACTTAGTATGAAAAACCGTGAACTGTCACAGCCATTGCATTCAGCTCTTCCTCAGAAACCACTTTCAATAAACTTATCTTTGAGTGTGAAAGTGTTAGTCACTCAGTCGTGTCCGACCCTGTGACCCCATGGACTGTATAGCCCACCAGGCCCCTCTGTCTATGGAATTCGCCAGGCAAGAATACTGGAGTGGGTAGCCATTCTGTTTTCCAGGGGATCGTCCCAACTCAGGGATCGAGCTTGGGTTGCCTGCATTGCAGGCAGATTCCTTACTATCTGAACCACCAGGGAAGCCCTTATTCTTTGTTTAGTAATACCCATTCTCAGCTCAAAGGAACAAACCAGAGGATCAGTCTCCGTTGAATCTGGGACCACACAACCAAGGTTAAGGGGGGCCGCTTTAGATGTCGTATCAGGGTCTATCCATGCCAGCCATGCCCAGCCCACAGGTCAACGCCCTGTCCTCAGACTGGCAGCCCTTTGCTCCATGAACCCTGGCCTGCCCTCACCCTAGCCCGGTGGCTACTGCACACGCCCGACAGGGTCCGCACTGCAGCCAGCATCAGCTCAGGCCTCTTCGTGTCCAAAAGCTGCATCAGCAGGGCCACGCCGTTGTTCTGGAAGATCCTCTCGGCCCCCGCTTCCTCACGGCTGAGGACAATGAGGTTGTTGGCGGCCTGAAGGAGCAAAGGAAGCAATGAAGGTCAGGGGCGAAGTCTGGCTACTGAGGCCTTGACCATGAGCCAAGTGCAGGGGCTGGGGCAAGGAGTGAGTCTTCAAAACTTCTTTATATTCTTTTGCCCTATAGCCCTGCTCCTGGGAATGTAGCCCAAGAACATAATTCAGAACAAGAAACAAAGTAACTTGCAATAAAAACCAGCTGGATGAAAATATATTGCAGCCATTAAAGACATAAATGAAACAACTCAGAGGCAACTTGGAAAAAGCATGGGTTTGCAGAAACAGAATTACAGGTTCACTCTGATGGCACTTATAGTAAAACAAAACTGTGCGTATATGCTTGTGGATAAGGACTTTTAAAAGGTAGGAAAAGGTGGTCCAGTGGTGACGACTCCACTTTCCAATCCTTGGGAGGGGAACTAAGATCCCACAGTACCCCTAACCCTGGCTGGGGAACTAAGATTGCACATGCTGAGGAACAACTGAGCCTGTGAACCACAAAAAAAGGTCCCACAGGCCGCAACAAAGACCCAACACAACCATATAAAAAAATGTTTTTAAAGAGAAGAGTAGGGAAGTGTTAAATTAATTCATCAAGGAGGCCATTAGTCTGAGGTGGCTTCAATGCCTAAGCAACTAAGCAAGAAAACCCAAACCACACTTTGCTGTCCAGCAGAAATCAACACAACTTGTCAATCAACTACACTTCAATTTAAAAACAAAGCAACTACAATGAAAAAATCCGAACCCTATATTGTCTCAAGGTTAAGAAGGACAGCCAATCACAAATAGCTAACGAGCCTTTCCCAAATAATGCCAACTGCTTAAGCTACAGCCCGGGCTTCCCAGGTGGCCCTAGTGGTAAAGAATCCACCTGCTAAAGCAGGAGACACAAAAGATGTTGGTTCGATCCCTGGGTCAGGAAGATGCCCTGGAGAAGGAAATGGTAACCCACTCCAAGTATTCTTGCCTGGAGAATTCCATGGACAGAGGAGCCTGCCAGACTACAGTCCAGGGGGGTGCAAAGAGTTCGACACGACTAGGCATGCACACTTTTAAGCTACAGCCAATCAAATAATTCCCTTGCTTTGCTTCCACCTCTTTTCTGTTCTTGTTTGTTTTGTTTTGTTTATATATTTGCAGCACGTGGACTCAGGAGTTGCTGCACTTGGCCTTAGTTGCCCCACAACATGTGGGGTCTTAGTTCCCGACCAGGGATCATACTGACATACCCTGCATTGGCAAGAGGATTCTTAACCACTGAACCACCAGGGAAGTCACCCACCTCTTTTCGATAAAAGCCTTTTCCGTAGCTCTTGCTGGTGGAATACTCCCGACCACTTCTGGTTCATGCTACCCAGTTCAAACAAATTTTGCTCAAACTCTTTGAGTTTTTAATATGTCTTAGTTTATCTTGTAACAGAATGGGTTTTTACATTGGGGATTCTTTTCCATTAAACATGTTCCTTGAATATGGTTTTGGCATCTTTATTGTTCAAGTTGCAGGAGGTTCTCAGGAAGATTGAAGGTTGTGTGCAGAGAGCGCTAGATGGGATTTGAAAGCCCTGGGTGACGATTCTGCCACATGCTAGCCACATGACCTTGGGCAAGGCATAGCATTCTCTGGGTCTCAAATCCCTGTCCATAAAAATAGACAGTTGAGCTGCATTTTCAAGTCTCTTCCCACCCTGGGGATATCTATCTATCTATCTATATATGATATAGATATAAGATATTCTGTATATGTGTGTCTGTGTGTGTGAGTCCTCAGGGTCTCTCTCTCTCTCTATATATATATATATATATATATATATGTATATAAAGGATATCCTGAATATTCATTGGAAGGACTGATAACTGAAGCTGAAGCTCCAATACTCTGGCCACCTGATGCGAAGAACTGACTCCCTGGAAAAGGGAGGGAAAGAGGCTGGGAAAGATTGAAGGCAGGAGGAAAAGGAGATGACAGAGGATGAGATGGTTGGATGGCATCACCAACTTAATGGACATGAGTTTGTGTAAGCTCCGGGAGTCGGTGGGGTCAGGGAGGCCGGTGTGATGCAGTCCATGGGGGTGGCAAAGAGTTGGACACGACTGAGTGACTGAACTGAACTGAACTGAGGATATAAAAGGATATAAAGCCTTACACCTTGAGGATGCGTTCATAGTCATCCCTCAGTATCCACAGATGATTTTTTCCAGGACTCTGGTGGATAACAAAATCCATGGATGCTCAAGTCCCTTACATCAAATGACGTAGTACAGTTGACCCTCCTAACCACAGGCAACCAATTGTGTGTTGAAATCCTTTAAAAGGCCCCAGATCTGGAGAGAAGGGCTTGAGCAGGACCTGAGACGCTGAGATTGGGCAAAGAATTCAAGAAGCAAGAAAAGGAGGAGGTGGGCAAACAGGTGGAGACTAAGAGGTTGGTGTGCAAGCTTAGTTGTGTCTGACTGTGCGACCCCATGGATGGTGCCGGCCAGGCTCCTCTGTTCCCGGGATTTTCCAGGCAGGTACACTGGAGTGGGGTAACCACTCCCTTCTCCAGGAATCTTCCTGACCCAGAGACTGAACCCCCTTCTCCTGCATTGCCGGCAGATGCTTCACCATCTGAGCCACCAGGGAACCCCCCAAGAGGCTGGGAAGGAGGCTGATTAAAGAATTCCAGGCAAGCATGAACAGAACCATCATCGTGCTCTATCAGTCAAGGGCTTTGTACTTTTCAGAATACAAAGTACTGCTTTTATATATATAACAACTCATCAAGTCCTCATAGGAGTTTGTTATAAAAGATACTTGTACATTAAAAAAAATTTTTTTGACCACATCCGCCACATGTGGGATCTTAGTTCCTTAACCAGGAATCAACCCCAAGCTGCCTGCATTGGAAGGCAGAGTCTTAACCACTTGACAACTACGGAAGCCCTGACATTTGCATATTATATGATTACTGATCATAAAACTAATAAAAATTCCCCATGCATCTTCTGTTAAATTCTTATATTTAGATACTCATTTTTTTCCCTCTGAAGGAGGAAAAAAGAAACATTTAAAAATGCAGCAAATTTGGTTAAGAAGATGGTATTAGGAATAAACATCTTCATAATTCAGAATGATGCTGCAATATTTTGAAATGGAATAAAGCATTATTTTGACATGTTACTGTTTCTCACACCCAAAACCAGGGTGAGGCAAGTAAGACACTGGCCTTGGGTGCAGATTTTACGGGGTACAAAAAACTTCTGTAATCAAGATAAATGGTATTGAATGCAATATTATAAAATATAAAAATCCATGCACCGCAAAAAACAATACATGATGAACAAAATGCCAGAAATATAAAGACAGGATTCAACCCTCATTGTTCTCCTCGTTGTTGGCATGACTCAACATGAGCACCCCTTCGTGTTGAGCATGACTCTCCTCGTGGTTCTCACCCTAATCCTGGCCCTTCTTAAAGTTCACACTGTTTCCTAAGGGACTTAACGTTTGGCCCATCTTTGTCTCCTTTCTTCCAGGAGCCGCCCACCGGCACGAGGCGGGGGCTTTACCTTCCGGACACGGGGGCGGAGCCGCAGAGGAAGCAGTTACCTGCGCGCCCCTAGAGCGCCCTCTTCTGGTTCGCTGCTTGCCCAGCACTTACCTTCTCCAGTTTATCCGCTTCACTGGTCCTGTCCAGGAGAATCTCAAACATCGTCTGAACCCTCGAGTCAGTGGAGAACTGCACCCGGAGCTGAGGAGAAAGGAGGGAGTGCGGAAGAAGGCAGGTGGGCATCCTCATCATTTCAGTCAGCTCCACTTAAAGGTCATCTCAGTTAATACTAAGGTATACTCTTTCTGCCTGCCTCCATCACTCGTTCATCCAACCAACATCGACTGAACTGCTACTACGGGTCAGATGCTGGCAGATGCTAGGGATAGAACCGGAGGACAAAATCAAATCCTTGCTCCACAAAGCTTACAGTTTACATTCGAGGTCACATTTAGTCTTAACAAGGCAAGTCTTGCAAGACAAAAAATCATCACCCCAATTTTGCAGCCTCGCTGTTAGACGTTTAAATATGGGCTAAAACAGTAATGTATCTCCAGGGTCAGAAACGAAGCAGCTTTCAAGTACCTCTTGAAACAAATGTAAACCATTTTTTCCTTCTTTATTCCTTTAAAAATATTCATTTGTTCATTCACTTGATTGTGCCCAGGTCGTCGTAGCAGCAGCACACAAGATCTTTAGTTGCAGCATGTGGGATCCAGGTCTCTGACCTGGGATCGAACCCAGGCCCCCTGGATTGGGACCACAGAGTCCTAACCATTGGACCACCAGGGAAGTCCCTAAACGATTATTTTGGAATGTCTCATCCCTCACTCTCCCAATCCCAGTCCCAACCCCACTGCTCTGAAGCTTTGTTCTGCTGGGCTGTAGTGCCACCTATTTCCATCCTTAGGTCATTTCCTTTCAGGAAGTCGCTCATTCCCCACCCCTTCTCTGGTCACTCGTTGGTCTGTATTTTGACAGCCCTTGAGTCTGCACTCTGGACAGTACAGTGTGGTCCCTCCATGGGGCTGCCCCAGGATCCAGAAGTCACTGTGACCTGGAGCAAGGAGATGTGTGATCAAGTTACCCTTCTGCTCTCACAGTGGGGAGACCGACCACCCCAGTGTGTCCCTCAGAAAACTGGTAGCTAAGTGAGGACAGAGGGTGCAGGACTCCTTATCTCTGGTCCCAGTTCCCAGGTCCCACTCCGTTTTCCTAGAAAAGATTCCCTGTTCCTGCTGCTTCCTGGCTCTCCTGCATCCCCCAGCAACATCCTCCCCCCAGTTCCCAGGTTTCTCACGCTGCCTTGGTCCTCCTAGAAAGAGAGAGAGATCATAGTGAAGACGTACTAAGCTGCAATTTTTTTTTAAGCCTCCATCTGGAATTGAAAAGACTGGTATGCTAGTCCTGTCTGGCTTGTACCCTTGAACAAGCATCACGGCATCTCTGATCACTCACAGATAGGTGCATCTGCCCGGCTGTTCTGTGCCACGTGACCACTCCGTCCAAGGGAGCAGAGGTAGGCCAGCCCTGGTGTCCTGCTGCCCTAACGAGTCCCTACTAGGAATGGGGAGAGGTGGCCGAGGCTTGTGGGAAGGCCACCTTCCGGATCCAGCTCACCTTCTCCTGGATGCTGGTGTTGAGTCTCCTCAGTGTTTCCTGGAAGCTCTGGTTCTGTGGCTCCAGGGTGGCACAACGCTGCACATCCTTGAAGGCCTGGTCCAGCTTGCCCAGGTGCTCCAATGCCTGGCATCGCCGGTACAGAGCCTTGATGTCCGAGGAGTTGATGTCAATAGCTAATGAGGGACGCAGGCAGAGTCTCAGGGGGCCGGGCGGCAGACCACCTTCCCTCCTCCCCCACCACTGCCCCCAACTCCAGGGCTTCCAACTCTCCCTTGGAGAGTGTGCATCCTTGTAGACGCTTTGTGGAAGGCAATTTTTCCACGGACTGTAAGTGGAGTGTGGTTTGGGGATGATTCAAGTGCATTACATCTGTTGTGCACTTTATTTCTATTATTAGGACATCAGTTCCACCTCAGATCATCAGGCATTAGATCCCAGAGATTGGGAAGCCCTGCAGCAGACCATCTGGTCCTAGGCTCCCCTTAGTTAGGGAGGTGGTAAGAATCACTGTCTCAAGGTCAGAAGGGAGCTTAAGGCTCATCTTGTCCAATTCCTGCCTCTCCAGTCTCGGCTCCTTGATCCCTGCCAAGTACTAATCCAGTTGGTGCTTGCATACCTCCAGCTGTGGGAAGCACCTTACATCTCAAGGCAGACAGCTCCTTCAGAAAGCCCTTCCCTCCTCCAACCTGAAATCTATCTCCCTGTAACTTTGCCCTTTTGTCTTAAGTCCAGTCCTGGAAACTGTGAGATGAAATCCAATCCTTCTTCCTTGTGACCAGCCTTTCAGGAATTTGAAAGCAGCTCCCCGTCCCACCTGGGAGTTCCTTCTGTGAGCTAAATATTGCCACTTTTCTGCTTTTCACAGGATGTGTTTCCAGTCCCCTCTCCAGCTAAGTCCTTCCCGTCTGAACTCACTCCAGACTGTCTCTGTCTCTCCTTAAAAACTAGTGACTCGATCAAAAGCCAAGACAGACCTATGCAGAGGCGAACCCCCTTCATTCTGCATATTATAACCCTAAAAATGCAGCCAGAAGTCGTCCCATTTTGATCATGCTCTTAAATCTAAGTTCTCTCAGACCTTGAGGCACTCTGAAACCAGTGCTGATGTATGTTTATTTCTCCTAGTGTCTGTGGAATAAACCCATGAACACATCCTAGCCTCCAACAAAGTGCCTGTGCCCTTGCTGTGACAAAAGGATTTCCAAGAGCATCTTTCTAAGAAAAGAAGCTGCCCCAGCATATCTAACGTGTAAAAATGTGACTTAGGGATGGCTTTCCTGGAGCACTCTGTTCACACAAGGATGGTCCATCTGAAGCCCTGCCTACAACATCCAGGATGGCATTTATACAATCTGTGAGTGTCAAGAGCCTCTTAGACTAAACAGGGATGCCAAGGGGGGTGCGTGGAGGGCAAGGTCAGAACAAGGGGGGGCTCACCTCTTGAGGCATCGGAAGCCGCCTGAACATAGCTCTCCTGAGAAATGGGGAAGGAGGAAACTTGGTTAATGTGGACCCAACACAGAGAGAGCCAGAGAGGGTCCTGAGGTGAGGAGACAGAGCTTGCTGGCCGCTGCCACTGTCAGAGGCCAGAGGCTCCTGCTGAGCATGGGAAAGTGGACAAGATTCAGGCACACTCAGGCTTGAACCTGGCTCTGCTGCTGACTGAGGAGGGCGTGGCTACCCACTCCAAGGTTCTCACCTGCAGAATCCCACAGACAGAGGAGCCTGGAGGGCTGTCATCCATGGGGTCGCAAAGAGTCAGACACGACTCAAGTGATTTAGCATGTACACACTGCTGATAACTACCTAGAGCTCTTGGGGAAGTTATTGAGCCCTCCTCTTGAGTCTTGAGCTTCCTATCTGCAACATGGGTACAAGAGTAGTGGCAACCTCGTGGTCTGTGGTTAAGATGCCACGAAATAAGCTCTGAAAAGCCCCTGTCCTGATGCCAGTTCCTACGAGGCTGCTTCCCATGGGATGAGAACTGTCTCCGTGGATGACTTCCCCATTTCCCAGAGGAGTGGGTCAGGCGATGGGTACCAGAAAGCAGGGGGAGGCGCCCTGCTCCAATCTGAGGGTTCCAGGAGGGGGTATGACTGTCGGGAAGAGGGAACTGCCCCTCACCTGCATCCCAGTTCAGCCCTCAGTTCCCACCCCTCTCCATCCCAGACCGTTTTCAGGCCACAGGCTGCCCGGTTCCGATAGAGCGTGGCCAGCAGGGCCTTATCCTTGGTCAGCTTCAGGGCCTGGCTGTAGCTCTTGGTGGCGGCCTTGTAGTCCTGGAGCTGGAAATGCTGGTTCCCTTCCTCCTTCAGCTGCATCGCTTCCGCCTCGGCCATCTGTCAGGACAGGAGAGCTCCCTCCAGACCAGGAGCTGGGGTCCTGGTCTGAGGTCTGGAGCTCCAGGGTCCCCACCTACCAGGATGGATGGGGAGGATGCTACCTGGGAGGGAGGGAACCAGAGGGACCCACCCCTCAACCCCCGCCAATCCACTGCCCAGGAGGACATCACAGCGTCTGCTAAGAGTGGGGCCCAAGTTGAGAGGGGTCTCAGCATCTCTGATCCTAGGGAACTCTGCTTAGTATTATGTAGCAACCTAAACGGGAAAAGAATTTGAAAAAGAAGGGGTTTCCCTGGCAGTCTAGTGGCTAAGATCCCATGCTTCCAATGCAGGGGGCCTGGGTTCCATCCCTGGTCAGGCAGCTAGATCCCACTTGTTGCAACTAAGACCTGGTGTGGCTAAATAATTAAATAAATAAAAACAAATAAATTTTTTAAAAAAAGAATAGATATATGTATAACTGAATCACTTGGTACACCTGAAGTTAACACAGAATTGTTAACTATACTCCGACTTTTTTTTTTAAAGAAGAGTCCCTGTTCCTCCCTCTATCTCCCTCCCAGCAGGATGGGTAAAGACACCACACCAAGGGCCTGAATTCTCATTGCAGGCCTTAAAATGCCTGGGTTCCGCCTTCCCCTCCCCAGTCCCAGGAACACTCCGGGCCAGCTCACTTTCTCTCAGGGACAATGTCCTCAGTCCGTCCTCCTGGGATGCGGCTCCTGTGTGTGTGAACCCCCAGCCGGCCAGCGTCAGTCTGCCCCTCCCAGCCCCCACCCAGGAGACTTTATCACCCCAGCCAGTGGCTTCGGACCATATTTGGCCACAGGGGCAGGTGCCCCTGGCGTCTGTCAGAGATACTCCGGGACCTCCCCCTCCCCAGACTGGACAGTCATTACCACGTGGAGGTTCCAACGAACCTCTGTCCCCGCATCCCACTCAGGGCCAGTCCTGGGGGCACAGGTGCTCCTAACCCCCCAAAGAATGATAGATCCAGAGGAACGGGAGCACCCCCAGCAGACCCCCGCTCCCTAGGCCCAGCTCGGATGCCCCCTCTCCACCTCCCTCCCAGATAAACAACCTCCTCTCCCCTCCCCCCACCCCTGCTATTTTGGGAGCAGAGTGACAGCTGAGGGGCTGGCAGGCTTCATGCGCAGAGCAGCTGCCCAGGTCCCAGGCCAGCTGGAGACTTCCAGAAGCGCCCTTCTGGAGGGAGGAGGGAAGAGGAGGGAGGGAGGAAGTTTCCTTCCCCTCTCCCCCTTGTCCACAACTCCCCTGCCACTTCCACCCATTGAAAACGGCCTTGTTTTTCAGAAAGATCCATGGACTTTTTGTCTCACTTGAGTGGAAGTGGGTGGTTTGTTCCACCTTGCGCATCTTCTGCGGCCCTTCCCTGTCTGTACGGAGGGTCTGTATTTGGCCTCCCTCCCCGCCCCCAAGCTAGGAGCCCCCTGAGGATGGGCTCTGTATGGCCCCCACCGGACTGAATCTTCTCCCGCAGATTCCCAGGCAGCCTGGGAATTCCCTGCGACCCAGAACTGTGCCCCCTAACTGACTGGGACTTGCTGAGTCCCCCTCATCAGAGAAGGCGGGGGTGGGGGGGGGTCTTCCTTGGATGAGAACTCTATAGTCACTAAAAATTGTGAATCACTGTGTTGCACACCTGACACTTATACACTATTGTAAATCAACTCTACTGTGATGTTAAGATTTTAATTAAATTAAAAATTCTTAATTAAAAAAAAAACACACTATGTACTCGCCACCAAAGAGGGTCTCCCTGGGACAGGAATTGTTTCTCCTTATTCAACTGAGGGTTCCTAAGACAAATTTATGAGGTGGTCCCCCACTTGGATTTAGCATTCTCTCAGCTTTCTGTGTCTCTGAGACTGGACAGTGAGTGCTCTCCCAGAGGACAAGTACAGTGTTTCATGCAGTTTGAGTTTCCCTGGCACAGAGCCTGGAAGACTCAGTGTCCAATGCACATTCTTAAATGAATGAATGAATGAATGAGTTTTTCGTGCTGACGCTTTGCTTCACATTGCTACCATTCTGCCCCCCTCTCCCATATTGCTTCAGACTGACCAGACCAGGGCTAAGAAAAGACACTGAAGGAAAAAAGCGTTGGTGGGATCACTCACACTAGATTCTGCTCTTAGCTCTGTGACCTTGAAAACACAGCTCTGTGACCTTGGACAAGTTCTACTGTCCTACTGGACGCAAAGTCCAGCCCTGATAAATGTTCAAGTCCAGGGGACCCGGATTCAAATTCTGATTCAGTAATTCATTCCACAAGCATTTCTTAAGTATTTGATATGTGCCAGGATTCCCTTGAGGCTCAGCTGGTAAAGTTGGTACAATGCAGGAGACCCGGGTTCAATTTCTGGGTCGGGAACATCCCCTGGAGAAGGAAATGGGAACCCACTGCAGTGTTCTTGCCTGGAGAACCCCAGGGACAGTCCAGGGGGCTACAGTCCATGGGGTTGCAAGAATTGGACACGACTTAGTGACTAAACTTTACTGTCTCCCAGAGTTTGCTCGAACTCATGTCCATTGAGTCAATGATGCCATCCAACCATCTCATCCTTTGTTGTCCCCTTCTCCATCTGCCTTCAATCTCTCCCAGCATCAGTCCATGGGGTTGAAAGAGTCGGACACGACTTAGCGACTAAGCCACTACTATCTGCCAGGAACTGGCAGAATGACTGTGAATGGTGAATGATTGGTGAATGATTATGGAAGCAGAAAACACTCCTGGGGTAAGGATCTGTGTCTATTTTGTCCCTCACATATTCCAAGCGTCTGCAACAGTGTGTAGTATGTAGTGGTTGTTGTTTTAGTTGCTAAGTCATGTCTGACTCTTTTGCAACCCCAGGGACTGTAGCCCACCAGGCTCCTCTGTCCATGGGGTTTCCTAAGCAAGAGTACTGGAGTGGTATGTAGTAGGTGCTCAGTAATATTTGTTGAATGAATGCATGAAAGAATTCCATGAATCTGTGATTTCTGAAGAATACCAAACAGTTTTGAAACCTTACAATCAGAAAACATGACATTACTTCAGAGAACGTTTCCCCATGTAAATGATTAAATGAGTTAACATATGTAGGGCTCCTAGAACAATGTCTAGCAGAGACCTTTGTTAAATGATTGAATGAATATTTAAGGCAAGACCTGAAGCACTATTCCTGTATGTGTTTGTCAGCTCAGGCTGCCATAACAAAATACCACCAACTGGGTGGCTTAAACAACAAAAATTTCTTTTCTCACAATTCTGGAAGCTAGAAGCCTAAGCTCAGGGTGCCCTCATGTCGGTTGGTTTCTGGTGAAACTTCCCTTTCTGGCTTGGGGACAGCTGTCTTCTGCTTTGTATTCACACGGCCTCTTCTCTGTGGGAGAGCAAAGAGAGGCAAGGAGAGAGCGAGCGAACTTTTGTGTGTCCTCCTCTTAAAAGGACATCAGTCCTGTCAAATTAGGATGCCATCTTTAGGACCTCACTTAACCTTTATTACTTCCTCTTGGACCATCAAAAAGGCTGAGCACCAAAGAACTGATGCTTTGGAACTGTAGTGCTGGAGAAGACTCTTGAGAGTCCCTTGGGCAGTAAGGAGATCAAACCAGTCCATCCTAAAGGAAATCAACCCTGAGTGTTCATTGGAAGGACTGAAGCTGAAGCTCCAATACTTTGGCCATTTGATTCGAAGAGCTGACTCATTGAAAAAGACCCTGATGCTGGGAGAGATTGAAGGCAGATGGAGAAGTGGACAACAAAGGATGAGACAGTTGGATGGCATCATCAACTCAATGGACATGAGTTTGAGGAAACTCTGGGAGACAGTGAAGGACAGGAAAGCCTGGCGTGTCGAAAAGAGGGAGGGAACTAAGGCTGAGTGGACCATTATAAGGAGTCTGATTTTTCCTGCCTGTAATGGGAGGCTTTGTAGGGTAACAAAGACAGAAAGTAACTGACCAGATTTTTGGTTTAAAACATCACCCTGGTTGTCAAGTGAAGAGGAAGAGGCAGGGTAAAGACAGGTAGGCAAATGTAGAGACTGTAGGAACAAGTATTGCAGCCAAAATCTAGGCTCTCTGTGCACTGATACGGAAGAGCAATATGCAGACAGAATTGTGGAGAAGAAAGAGTGACTCTATTAATTTGTCAGACAAAGGGGGAACACAGTATGCTGGCGTCTCAAGTGCTGTGCCCCCCTACCCTGGTGAGTGAAAAGTGAAAGTGAAAGTCGCTCAGTCATGTCTGACTCTCCGGGACTGCATGGACTATACAGTTCATGGAATTCTCCAGGCCAGAATGGGTAGCCTTTCCCTTCTCCAGGGGATCATCCCAAACCAGGAATCGAACCGGGGTCTCCTGCATTGCAGGCGGATTCTGGTGAGCAGGGAGAGGTTATACAGTCAGGCAGGAGAATGTGATAAGGACCAAGGCAATAAGCATCTTTCTTTTTCCTTTCGAGCTGTGACGGGTCTTCATTGCTTCGAGTGGGCTTCCTCTGCTTGTGGCGAGCGGGGGCTACTCTTTGCCACAGAGTGCAGGTTCTATAGAATGGGCTTCAGTCATTGTGGCCCACGGGTTTAGCTGCTTCCCGGCATGTGGGATCTTTACAGACCAGGGATCGAACCCATATCCCCTGCATTGGCAGGCAGATTCTTAACCACTGGACCACCAGGGAAGTCCAGTAACAGTCTTTCCTTCTTTCCTCTGAAAAGTTTCTAAAGGGTGGGTTGCTGACAAGATTAGGGTGTGTGCAGGGTCTAAGGTGGTCTCCTGACCTTGAAGAGCTTCTCTGGTCCCTTTAATCTTGACTCAGGTGGTTTCCTGGTTGCTCCTCCCTTGATTAGCAACTGTTTGAATCTATTCTTGGAGCTCAGAGAAGGTTGCAGAAGGTGGAGTGTTGCCTACGTGAAATGGGGGACAAAAAGGCCTCTGTGCCTGGGAGCCCCAAAGGGCCCTGCGTGGCATCAGTGTGGCAATGGAGATGGAGGGAACGGATTCTAGACAGGGTAATGAGGCAGCCCTGGCAGAGCTTGAGATGCCCTGGATACAGGGGAGGGAGAGAGAGGGAGGGAAGGGGGAAGGAGGGAGACAGAGAGAGAAGCTGACCGAAGATCCTAGGTTTCCAGTAAAAGTTCTTCTGGTCTGTCTCCGCTTTAGGGCCTCATCTGTAACATGGGATGAAAAGAGTCGTGAGGATTAAATGAGTTACATATGTAAAGCACTTAGAACAATGCCTAACACTTGCTGTTGTTGTTATTGTTGTTATTATTGTTAACAACAATACATATTGTTATTATTATAGAAGGAAATGGCAACCCACTCCAGTATTCTTGCCTGGAGAATCCCATGGACAGAGGAGCCTGGCGGGCTACAGTCCACAGGGCGCAAAGAGTCGGACACAACTGAGCGACTTCACTTTCACACTGTTGAAGACTGCAAGAATTTTTTGCTTCTATCCTCAAGTATTATTAATTGATTTGAGCCATTTAAAAAAGAATACTAGGACTTCTCTGGTGGTCCAGTGGTCAAGAATACACCTGCCAATTCAGGAGACATGGGTTTGATCCCTGATCTGGGGCGATTCCACATGACTTGGAGCTACTAAGTCTAAGCGCCACAACTACTGAGCCTGCACTCCAGAACCCATGAGCGACAACCAGAAAAGCCACCTCAAAGAGACGCATAGGGTAATAGAGAGCAGCCCTCGCTGGCCGTAACCAGAGAAAGCCCGTGCGCAGCGCCGATGACCCAGAGCAGCTAAAAGTAAAAATTAATTAATTATTTTAAACTTTAAAAGAATTCTAATTTCTGCCTTTAATCCCATGGGCGCTGGTTTTATAAGCCACTCCCATTACCTATCTCTGTGATCTCAGGGGAAATCAACTGGCCAGAGCCTTCAATTATGCATCAGTAAAACTGGAGCTAAGAATCGCTGTTCAGAAAAGACAAAAGGTTGTCAGTATCCGGCAAGTGATCTGCAATCACCAGATGGCCAACACCAAAATCAGATTGATTATATTCTTTGCAGCCAAAGATGGAGAAGTTCTATACAGTCAGCAAAAACAAGACCGGGAGCTGACTGTGGCTCAGATCATGAACTCCTTATTGCCAAATTCAGACTTAAATTGAAGAAAATAGGGAAAACCACTAGACAATTCAGATAAGACCTAAATCAAATCCCTTATGATTATACAGTGGAAGTGAGAAATAGTTTTAAGGGACTAGATCTGATATACAGAGTGCCTGATGAATTATGGTTGGAGGTTCATGACATTGTACAGGAGACAGGGAACAAGACCATCCCCAAGAAAAAAAAATGCAAAAAAGCAAAATGGCTGTCTGAAGAGGCCTTACAAATAGCTATGAAAAGAAGAGAAGTGAAAGGCAAAGGAAAAAAGGAAAGATACCCATTTGAATGCAGAGTTCCAAAGAATACCAAGGAGAGAGAAGAAAGCCTTCCTCAGTGATCAGTGCAAAGAAATAGAAGAAAACAATAGAATGGGAAAGACTAGAGATCTCTTCAAGAGAATTAGAGATACCAAGGGGACATTTCATGCAAAGACGGGCTCAATAAAGGACGGAAATGGTATGGACCTAACAGAAGCAGAAGATATTAAGAAGAGGTAGCAAGAATACACAGAAGAACTATACAAAAAAGATCTTCACGACCCAGATAATCACGATGGTGTGATCACTCACCTAGAGCCAGACATCCTGGAACGTGAAGTCAAGTGGGCCTTAGGAAGCATCACTATGAACAAAGCTAGAGGAGGTGATGGAATTCCAGTTGAGCTATTTCAAATCCTGAAAGATGATGCTGTGAAAGTGCTGCACTCAGTATGCCAGCAAATTTGGAAAACTCAGCAGTGGCCACAGGACTGGAAAAGGTCAGTTTTCATTCCAATCCCAAACAAAGGCAATGCCAAACAATGCTCAGACTACCACACGATTTCTCTCATCTCACAAGCTAGTAAAGTAATGTTCAAAATTCTCCAAGCCAGGCTTCAGCAGTACGTGAACCGTGAACTTCCAGATGTTCAAGCTGGTTTTAGAAAAGGCAGAAGAACCAGAGATCAAATTGCCAACATCCACTGGATCATCGAAAAAGCAAGAGAGTTCCAGAAAAACATCTATTTCTGCTTTATTGACTATGCCAAAGACTTTGATTGTGTGGATCACAACAAACTGTGGAAAATTCTTCAAGAGATGGGAATGTCAGACCACCTGACCTGCCTCTTGAGAAATCTGTATGCAGGTCAGGAAGAAACAGTTAGAGCTGCACATGGAACAACAGACTGGTTCCAAATAGGAAAAGAAGTATGTCAAGGCTGTATATTGTCACCCTGTTTATTTAACTTATATGCAGAGTACATCATGAGAAACGCTGGGCTGGAGGAAGCACAAACTGGAATCAAGATTGCTGGGAGAAATATCAATAACCTCAGATATGCAGATGACACCACGCTTATGGCAGAAAGTGAAGAAGAACTAAAGAGACTCTTGATGAAAGTGAAAGAGGAGAGTGAAAAATTTTGCTTAAAGCTTAACATTCAGAAAACCAAGATCATGGCATCTGGTCCCATCACTTCATGCAAATAGATGGGGAAACAGTGGGAACAGTGGATGAGTTTATTTTTTAGGCTCCAAAATCACTGCAGATGGTGATTGCAGCCATGAAATTAAAAGACGCTTACTTCTTGGAAGGAAAGTTATGACCAACCTAGACAGCATATTAAAAATCAGAGACATTACTTTGCCAACAAAGGTGCATCTAGTCAAAGCTATGGTTTTTCAGTGGTCATGTATGGATGTGAGAGTTGGACTGTAAAGAAAGCTGAGCACAGAATTGATGCTTTTGAACTGTGGTGTTGGAGAAGACTCTTGAGAGTCCCTTGGACTGCAAGGAGATCCAACCAGTCCATCCTAAAGATCAGTCCTGGGTGTTCTTTGGAAGGACTGATGTTGAAGCTGAAACTCCAATACTTTGCCACCTGATGCAAAGAGCTGACTCATTTGAAAAGACTGTGACGCTGAACAAGATTGAGGGCAGGAGGAGAAGGGGACGAAAGAGCTTGAGATGGTTGGATGGCATCACTGACTCAATGGACATGAGTTTGGGTAAATTCCGGGAGTTGGTGATGGACAGGGAGGCCTGGCGTGCTGCAGTCCATGGGGTCGCAAAGAGTTGGACACGACTGAGTGACTGAACTGAACTGATCCTGCAAGGCTCTGGGAGAGACTAGAACGCGGAGGCGGCCACCAGTCCAAGGGTAGGGTGTGGAGGCGGGTATCAGGTGAGCCCACGCCCAATGCAGGAGGCCTGGCGGGGCACGGCACTTCCCCGCCGCGACACCAGGGGGCGATGCGGCAAGCTGCGGCGCCGCTGACCCACGGCAGCGGCGCTCCATCACGCCGGAGTTACCTCCTCCACGTGGGGACGCAGGATGGCGGCGGCCGCGGCGGCAGCGGCGGGTGTGCGTGAGTGCGGGAGGGGCCCGCGTCCGGGGTCTCGCGCCCGCTTTCCCGAGGCCGGAGGGAGTCGGGAGTGGGGGCCCTCGGGTAACCGAGCCGCGGGAGTGACGCCTACCGCGCTTGTCCGCACAGGACGAGGCGGCGACGCGCGACGTGCAGCGGCTGCTCGTGCAGTTCCAGGATGAGGGCGGGCAGCTGCTGGGCTCGCCGTTCGACGTGCCCGTGGACATCACCCCGGACAAGCTGCAGCTCGTGTGCAACGCTCTGCTGGCTCAGGTGAGCGTTGGGCACGCGGGGGATCGGGAGGCCGAAGGTCTTGGGTACCAGGGCCCCCACCGCTCCCCCGCAGTGCTGACAGCCCGGCCGTGCGGTCTGCCCTTGGGGAGGGTCGGAAGATGTGAGTAGACTGAGCGATTTATACGCCCACCTTCAGGGCCCACCTGCGGAGAGAGCGCGCGTTTTGAACGCATTGGGCGCATCATCACAGTGATTCCTTGTCGCAGCCCGTCATTGTCTCCCCGTTGTCATTAACTTCCCCATTTTACATTGTTGCCTACGATCATTCGATTGTGTGTAAGATGCCGCGCCATAGGTGGTAGGTTTAGAGTTGGAACTCAAACGTCAGACTCATAACCTCTGCTCTCCTAAGCTGCTCAGTCAGCTCAGTCGTGTCCGACTCTTTGCGACCCCATGGACCGCAGCACCCCCCAGGCCTCCCTGTCCATCACCAACTCCCGGAGTTTATTCACACTCATGTCCATTGAGTCGGTGATGCCATCCAACCGTCTGATGCTCTGTCGTCCCCTTCTCCTCCCGCCTTCAGTCTTTGCCAGCATCAGGGTCTTTTCAAATGAGTCAGTTCTTCGCATCAGGTGGCCAAAGTGTTGGAGTTTCAGCTTCAGCATCAGTCCTTCCAATGAGTATTCAGGACTGATTTCCTCTAAGCTGCTAGTGTTTATCAAAATGCTGCCCTCTATGGGAGGTGGGCTTCTCTGGTGGCTCAGAAGTAAAGAATCGGCTTGCAATGCAGGAGACACGGGTTCGATCCCTGTGTCAGGAAGATCCCCTGGCAGAGGAGGTGGCAACCCACTCCAGTATTCTTGCCTGGAGAATTCCATGAACAGAGGAACCTGGTGGGCTACAGTCCACGGGGGCCCAAAGAGTCAGACAGGACTGAGCAACTGAACAACAACATTGGGGGTGGGGGAAGTTGCTTAAAAATGCAGTACCTGGGCCCCAGCCTACACTACTACACTGGACCCAGGGGTGAAGCAGAGAGTCTGCATTTTCAGTCAGCTTTTTGGATGCTTCTTAGGCATTATAGAGCCTGGTGTGGTGGTTTAGAAAATGCCTTAAATGCTATATACTAATTCTAATCCTGGACTTCTGTCTGAAGAATCTGAATTAGTCATTAGCAATAGGACATTGGGCTAAGCACTTAGTTGCTCTGTTTTTTCAGCATGAATGCCTATCTGCCAGGGTAGTTGTGAGATGAAGATAAAGGATTCTAAAGTGATTTGTAAATATTCTGGAGTTGCTCTTGAAGGATTCAAAAGGTCTTGCTCAATGGGGAATAATGGGGGTGTCCCAAGCAGGGTGGCTGAAAAGAAGGCTTTGCCTGCACACAGCTTGCAGAGGGTGGGGAGGGGAGGGTCCCCCAGTGGAGGCTGCTCTGCCCGTCGTTTCATGGGGGGCTTCCCTTTGCTGTTGTCCTCCAGGAGGATCCCCTGCCACTGGCTTTCTATGTCCATGATGCCGAGATCGTCTCCTCACTGGGGAGGACACTGGAGTCACAGGCGGTGGAGACAGAGAAGGTCTTGGACATCATTTACCAGCCACAGGCTATCTTCAGGGTTCGCGCTGTGACCCGCTGCACCAGCTCCTTGGAGGGTCACAGTGAGGCGGTCATTTCCGTGGCCTTCAGCCCCACAGGAAAGTAAGGACAGCTGCAGGGTCGTGGAGGGGAGTGTGGGTGCAGCTGTTGGCTGGGGTGAGGGGACCCCCAAGTTATGCTTAGTGGGTCCTCTGGCTCCCTTTCCTTGACCCAAGCTCTGAGCTCAGGGTGTAAGTAAGGGACTTGTCCAGTGGAATTTTGTCCCCAAAGGCCAAGGATACCTGCCTTGGAGGAGCCTTCCTGGACTTGCTCTCAGGAGAGCTGAGCTGCAAGCTCACCCCTGCCCCTTCCTAGCTGTGTGACCTGGGCAAGTCACTTAACCTGTCTGAGTCAGTTGTTCATCTGAGAAACAGGGTTTATTTGCTTCTCACAATCCTCTGAGGATAAGAAGAAGCTTTAACTGGTTATGGCTGTGGCCATTCCTTTCAGGAAGGACAAGGAGAGAAATTACCTCCTAGAGTCTTCTCCCAGATGGCCTGGGTGTTATAGTTCTCCTTTTCAGAAGAGAGAGAAATTTCCACTCCCAGATTCTGTTCCCAGAAGGCAATTGAATAGGCCACGGGAATGGACATGTACAGTGTTTTGGGTGGGGCCCAACCCCTTGTCCCCAGTGCAGAGTTCAGGCCGCCCCTCTTCTTCCCCAGGTACCTGGCCAGTGGCTCCGGAGACACAACAGTTCGCTTCTGGGATCTCAGCACTGAGACGCCACACTTCACATGCCAGGGTCGGTAGGCACGCAGTTACCCCTGGGGCGGGTGTTGATACAGTGGCAGGCGGGTGATTCGTTCAGCTGTTTAGTTCCTGGGAGGCCCAGAGCACATTCCAGCCTCTTAACATCCAGTTAGTGGTTACCAGTTCCTAGGTGGAGACCTTACCCTTGAGCCCCACCAGCTACTTACAGACAAGAAGAGACTGGACCCAAAAGTCAGCGTGAGGATGTGGGCAGGGACTGGCTGGCTGGTAGCAAGGACAACTGGGCTTAAGTCCGGTCTCTGCCACAGGAGTCCTCAAACTTGAACATACATCAGGATTACCTAGAGGGCTTGTTAAAATACAGATTTCTGGGTTCCACCCCCAGAATTTTTGTCTCCTCCAGTCTGGGATGTGGCCTGAGAATTTGCATTTCGAGTTCCAGGTGGTTCTGATGCTGCTGGCCTGGGATCCTCACACTAGCGAGGCGACCTTGTGTGTGGGCCTCGCTTCCTTTCTACGCTTCAGTTTTCTCATCTGGAAAATGGGAGTGGTACTTCTGGCTTTGTTCCATACTCTAGAGCTATCATGAGAATTATAAGGCCTGACACATGCAGGAATTTTATATCCCGTGGCACGTAAGGAACTATTAGAAAGTGGCAGTGTAATCTGTGCAGCAGGCGCATGGCTCTAGCACTTGGGGAGGGGTTTGCCATTTGCCTCGGGAGTCTCATCTCTTTGATTGGTGTTCGATTGTTCATTTATTTGGCAGCTAGCTATGTGCCAAATAGCACCTTCTGCAATGTGCCAGGCATTGCTGAGCATTTGGGATAAAGACAGGTATGGTCCCCCTTTCTCCCCTCCCTGCTTTTCTAGGACACAGACATTGGGTCCTTAGCATATCCTGGTCCCCAGACGGCAAGAAGCTGGCTTCAGGCTGTAAGAATGGCCAGGTAGATGATAGTTGGGGTATTTAGGTGGGGACCCTAGAGTTCTTTCCTGGGAGATGGGTCAGAATGAGGTACTGGGGTCTTCGGGGAGGCGTGGCTGGGGGGCGATGGGCGGGGGACCCTGGGTGAGGCCAGCGGAAGGTTGGGGGGGGGTATTTGCTGAGCTTCTGTCCCGCAGATTCTCCTGTGGGACCCAAGCACAGGGAAGCAAGTCGGCAGGGCGCTCACTGGCCACAGCAAGTGGGTCACAGCCCTGAGCTGGGAGCCGCTCCATGCGTAAGTGACACTGACAGCGGGGGTGAATGAGGAGCCGGGTTCGAAGCTGTACCCCGCCCCTGCTCGGTGCAGAGGAGCCTTAGTGGCCAGGGTGGGGGCTCTGAGGGGCAGTGACAGCGTGGCAGGCAGTGGGGAAGGTCGCCTGCACCCGTGGGTGGGGGTGGAGGGCGCTCGTCCCGGGGCCTGAGAGCCACCTTGCCGCGCCCCCGGATGGTGGGGTCAGGAAGCCCTCGAGACGTCATCCCTGGCCTTCGAGCTGGGCATCGGGAGGCAGCGTGGGAAGACAGGCACTGCCCAGTCAGAAGTGAGGACCCGTCTCTTCCTCCCCAGCAACCCCGAGTGCCGCTACGTGGCCAGCAGCTCCAAGGATGGCAGCGTGCGGGTCTGGGACACGACCTCGGGGCGCTGCGAGCGCATCCTCACCGGGCACACGCAGTCAGTCACCTGTCTCCGCTGGGGAGGGGACGGGCTTCTCTACTCGGCCTCCCAGGACCGCACCATCAAAGTCTGGAGGGCTCATGATGTAAGAGCTGGGAGGGGTCCGCAACCAGCCTGGGCAAATCGTGGGTCAGGGATGTCGGATCAGTGTTTCCTGAACTCGTTCCGGGAACTGGTCAGGGAGGTGCTTTTGAACAGTGGGTCCTGGGGTCGGTGCCGCATTATAGCGGAGGGTCCAGGGTCCCTGAGCGTGGTCAGGCTCTGGAATTTCCTGCTTCGGAAGCCTATTTAGGTTTATCAGACCTGCTATAGTGCAAACTTACTGGACTAGAGCCCTTTTTTCCTGACATTTCCCTTCTGTGAAACCTATTTTCAGAAACATTGATCCGGGCTCATTCTCTCATTTCACAAATGAGAGACTCGAACCCAGAGGGTTTGAGATTTGATTCAGATCACGATGAGGAGGTGATGGGTGATTTGATTCGGATCACAGTAAACGAGGGCCCTGCTTCTGAGTCCTGTGGGCCACCCCCCGTCTCCTGGGACTGACCTGGACATTCGTATTCCCAGGGGTGCAGAGGGCTCTGTGAGCATCTGACCTGTCTCTGTCCACCCTAGGGCGTGCTGTGCCGGACTCTGCAAGGCCACGGCCACTGGGTGAACACCATGGCCCTCAGCACTGACTACGCCCTGCGCACGGGGGCCTTTGAGCCCGCTGAGGCCTCAGTGAATGCCCAAGACCTCCGAGGGTCCTGTGAGTGAGCGGAAGGAGGCAGGGAGGAAGGGCTGGTTGAGATGGAGCTGGCTCTCTGGCTTCACGTGCGAGGGGCTGAGCTCGGCCGGGTGTGCGGGGTGCTTGCTGTCCGTGCTGAATTTTCTCATCAGCCTTGTTCCTTCTTTCCTTTGGTGCCTGGACACAGTGCAGGAGTTGAAGGAGAAGGCTCTGAGCCGCTACAACCTCGTGCGGGTGAGCGTCCCCAGCACCCCCAGCTCCATGTGTTGTTTCTCCTCGTCCCCCAAACCCCAAACCCTGCACAGGCTCAGGCCCCTCTCCCTTCTAGCCCCAGTACAGAATGTACTGTTCCCCCAAAGTTCTTCTTTTACAATTCTAAAATTCTAGTGTGCTGGGGATCATTTTATTTCACTTTTCTTTTTTTTCTTTTTTTTTGCTTATCTATTTATTTCTAATTCTAAGGTACCTCTGTTTATTTATTTATTTTGGCCTCAGAATTCAGGCTCGTAGTTCCCCAACCAGGGATAGAACCTGTGTTCCCTGCATTGGGAACATGCAGTCTTAATCACTGGACACCAGAGAAGTCCCTCTCTTTTTTTAAATTTCATTTAGTTTCAGTAACACATTCAGATAGTCTAGGGTTCAAAGAACACAAAAAAAGTAGATGGTGGAAAGCCTTTCATCTCTGTGGCTCCTGGAAGCATCTAGTGCTACCAGTGTCTCGTGTCTCCTTTCTGAGACTTCACGTACACGTGTATGTGCACACTACACACATATACAAGCCCACGTATAAAATCCTTCCCCCTTTTAAGATGCCACTGTGGGGACTTCCCTGGTGGTTCCAGTGTTAAGAGTCCACGATTGAGCAGACAGTGGTGTGTTTGCCTCTGAGGTCGGGTCTCCTCCCTGAGACCATGTGCGCTTTCTTGCCTCCGCAGGGCCGGGGCCCAGAGAGGCTGGTGTCTGGTTCAGATGACTTCACCCTGTTTCTGTGGTCCCCGGCAGAGGACAAGAAACCCCTGGCACGGATGACGGGGCACCAGGCTCTCATCAACCAGGTGGTCTACTCCCCAGACTCCCGAATCATCGCCAGCGCCTCCTTCGACAAGTCCATCAAGCTGTGGGACGGCAGGACGGGCAAGTGAGTGGGGGGCGTGGGCCCGGGAGGAGGGGCACCCCCCTCCGGAAGGAGCTCGGCTCTGCTGCTTTCTAGCTGTGTGGCTCTGGCAAGCGGTTGGCTTTTTTTTGTCTTTTCTTTTAAAGAAATTGTTGTTTATTTCATTTTTATTTTTGGCTCTGCTGGATCTTCGTTTTTGCTCACAGGCTTTCTCTAGTTGCAGTGAGCAGGGGCCATCTCTAACTGTGGTGTGAGGGCTTCTCATTGCAGTGGCTTCTCTTGTTGTGGAGCAACAACCCATCCCCTGCGTTGGCAGGCAGGGGAGTCCCTGGATTTTCTGAGCCTCTGTTTCCTCTTCTGAGTGTGCAGACCCCTTACCTCTCAGCCTTATCACAAGGATTAAGTGAGGTGGTATGTTCAGCACCCTCACTAAGCGGGCGCTGAAAATGGCTAGTTCTTTGTACACCTAGGGAGAGAAATGGTCTGAAAGCTGGCCAAGGGCCGAGGATGCAGCGGAAAGTGTAGGTTTGCAGTCTAGTCGTTATCTGGCCCTTACAGTGGAGTCCACAGACCAGACAGTGTGTTACCTGGGAGCTTGATGGAATTGCAGAGCCCTGGGCCCCAGCCCAGAGCTTGGGGATCAGAACCTGCCATTTAAGGTCACCTTTCAGGTCCGAGAAGCCGTGGTGTGACAAGACACAGTGCCCTCGCGGTCGATAGGAGGAGAGGTTGAGGCGCGGGTGTGGAAAGGAGCAGGGAAACACTCCTGAGGCCGAAGGGGGTCTCATGCATCCATCTCTGTGTATCTCCACGCTAAGCCCTGTGAAATAGGCTGTTCGGCTCCCTTTTTTAAATTCATTTACTTGGCTGGGTTGGGTCTTAGTTGCAGCGTGAGGGGGGTCTTTGTTTCGGCATGCAGCCTCCACTAGTTGCAGACGTGGGCTTCAGTTGCCCCGTGGCATGTGGGATCTTAGTTCCCCCACCAGGGATCAACCCGAGTCGCCTGCATTAGAAGGAGGATTCTCAACCACTGGATCCCCAGGGACGTCCCCAGCTCCTTTCTAAGACAAGGAAACAGTCTCGGGCCCAACGACTTGCACCAACGACTTGCACCAGCAGACAGTCAGTCTGTCCCGACCAGGTCCCAGTGGCCCGGTCCACTGTTCCTCCACGTCACCTGTCAGCAGGCACCTGCTGGGGTGGGCAGAGCGGGGGATGTCGTGCAGACGGGCCAAGCAGATGGGGGCATTGGAGTCCAAGGCTTGCGAAGTTGAGCTTGTGGAGGCCCAGCAAGAAGCATCCTAGAAGCAGTTTTACAAAATCGCAATGACCAGCAGAGATTAAATTGGTGTGGGGCGGGGGCCAGGCAGTGAGATTTTGTACAGGTTCCCAGGTAACCCTGACATGCAGCCACAGTTGAGAACGACTGCTGGGGGCCTTGAGGACCCTTCAGACGTGTTCCAAGATCTCACGTCCATCCTCATCGCCCTCCCCCTGGCCCAGGTACCTGGCCTCCCTGCGCGGCCACGTGGCTGCCGTGTACCAGATCGCGTGGTCGGCCGACAGCCGGCTCCTGGTCAGCGGCAGCAGTGACAGCACGCTGAAGGTGTGGGACGTGAAGGCCCAGAAGCTGTCCATGGACCTGCCGGGCCACGCAGATGAGGTACGGCCAACCCTCGTGGGCAGGTGGCTGAGTGGGGGGGGGACTGAAGCCTGCCCCCCCAACCCTGCTCACTGCACCACTGCCCCCCCGCCCCCGCCCCGTTTAGGTATATGCTGTCGACTGGAGTCCTGATGGCCAGAGAGTGGCCAGTGGTGGGAAGGACAAGTGCCTCCGGATGTGAGTTTGGGGGTGGGGGGCGCAGTGGTGGCCGGTGTACTCGGCCGTCCCGCCCTCGTGGTCGTCCCCCGTGGTGGAGAGTTCCACGGGCTCTCCACCTGCCCAGGCTCTCCCCATCATGGGCTCCTGGGACTGTGTGGTGCCTCCCTTTGCCGAGCTGGGGTCCCCATCCCATTCCCTGCCCTTGTTCACAGATGGAGGAGATGAGAAGCCCCCCAGGTCTCCGGGATCCCCACCTGGACTCCGCCTCCACCCGCTACCTGCTTTGACGGGAGGCCTCAGGCTGGGCGATGACCTTGAGAACGAGCATGGCCTGCTGTCCTCGGTCAGGCCCCACGGGGGTCCCTCCGCAGAACAGGAGGTCGAAGGTCGCAGGTCGCAGGAGGTCGTCACTGAACCCAGTCCTCGGCCATCCTCAGTACCTCGCTGGTGTGAGCAGGGGTGGCGGGAGGCCGGGCAATGACCAGCTGCTGCCTTTTCTAAATGCCGTCTCTTCAGGGTCAGGCCCCGGATTCTGTGACCAAATAAATAACTTATGTTTTGTGTGTTTGGCTTACGATTCCTGTCCTCGAGGCCCAGGGGTCTATGCCGGGTCAGTTCGTGCAGCCCCTCTCTCTGTTCTACACCAGTACCACGCTGAGCAGGAAGCGGCCCTTCCTTTCTTGCCCCCGTGCCTACGAGGGAGAGGCTGGGGCGACCCGCTGAGGCCCGTCTCTTAGTAGCCAGAGGAGGCTGTCGAGGCTGTGTTGTCCCTTCTGGCGGCACCAGCCGCGCGTAGCTGTTTGCATGAACTAGAATTCAGCCCAGTTAGAAATGCACTTGTCACACTAGCTCGAGGCTACTTCCTGGTCTGGACATCGCGCAGAGGGGATGCTTTGACCATCACAGGGACTTGTGCCAGCCCTGCTGCTCTGGGGTGCTTTTGCTGACCTCACCCAGTGTCACTGGGCCCTCGGGGTACAGAGAGGCGGTCCCTAAGGGCTCCCCTTAATGGGCCGTGCGGTGGTGCAGGCTCGGGCAGAAGTGGGGATGGATGGTGTGATGGGGAGGGTGGCTCTCTGCCCCTCAAAGACTCACAGAGTGAAGGGAACCCCCACCAGGACGTGCTCAGACCTTGGACCAAGGTCTTGCTCACTCCTCCTCCAGGGCCAGGTGCCTCTACCCGGGTTGAATTCCAGCCATCCTTGTACGGAGCACTCGGGGCCACAGCCTTTTTTGACTTCTTGGCCCTCCTCACCCTCCCCCACCCACATCTGTGCTTCTACGATTTTGCACCTTGCCTGGCTCTGGTTCTCGGCTTCTGCCTGCCTGGTCTCTGCAGTGAGACTGCATGAGGGGTGGAGGGAGGCGACGGGCTCTGAGGGCCCGGCTCTGTGCCAGGCGCTCTGCTGCTGAGCTCTCCCTTGAACCTCCCAGCGACCCTGCAGCCGTGCCTGGAAGGGCCATGCCATGCCCCCAGCAGGGATACAGATGTGAAGAATCAAAGAACCGAATAGGTTTCTAGCCTTCCTCAGTATTCTTTGGACACATGATGGATGTAATTCACACAAGAGAGGAGGAATTCTGTCATCAACAGCTTGGGAAATGCTGGCTAGAGCCAAATAAAGCTGGTTTCTGTGCTATTGCCGCCCTGCCCCCCCCCCCACCTTTTTTTTTGGCCACAGCACACAGCATGTGGGATCTAGTTTCCCCGACCAGGTACTGAACCCTCATGCCTTGCATTGGAAGTGCGGCGTCTCAACCGCTGAACCGCCAGGGAAGTCCCACATCCCTGTATTTTTGATGAGTAAATTGAGCCCCAGAACCATAAATGGCCTGAGCCGTCACATCCAGGAAGAGCCGAGGTGAAACAGAAGGGATTAAACCCTCCCCTCAGAGCTCAGGCACTTTGCCCCATGTCCCTCAGAGCTCAAGTTGGGCTGGCAGTGTGCAGGCTATCACTATGTCCATTATCACTGTTTTTCCTGGCGAGTGCTGTAGTCTTTGGGGACCATCTCTTTCTCCCACTGGGAAAGGGCGATGGCATCTCATGGCCCCGTGTCCCCCTGACCCACCTGGACTCGGTCCCGGCAGAAGCCAGGAGGGTGAGTGGCTGCGGCCCAGCTGAGGCCATTAGTGGCATGAAGCAGAATCTCAGGGTGCTGGGTGACCTGCAGGTTTTAATGAGGGACCTGGACCAGCCCAGATCTGGGAAAGGAGGCCTAGCAGCTACGGGCAGTGGAGGCTGATCTGGCCTGGCCTGCGGAGGCTCCGGGTGAGCAGAGCTCCCCTCTAACCTCGGCCCCAGGCCGGACCAGCAGGGTGGTCTTTGGTTCCCTGGCTCGGCTGGTGGTACATCTCGTGGTTCTGACTGCTGAGGGCCCTGGGCCGTAGCTGAAGGTGGGTGAGGGGCTTCCTGGGACCCTCCCCCTTAGTAGGGAAAGAGGTGTTCCAGATCTTCGAGCCTGCGCATGTCCTCCAGCCCGAGGGACACGGTCTTCCGCTGGGGCTCCTTGCGCTGCACGGTAATCTGGATGGGGTTGTTCTCGGGGAAGCTGTTCACGTCGGTGGCCACGGTTGCAAACTGAAAGAAACAGAAGTCCTCAGAACCCCTTGGCAGAGCTGACCCTGACCTCACCGCTCCAACACGGCCCGCCCTCGTTTGTCTGTGAAATGGGGTCTCCGAGGGCCCTACCAGCCTATTCACCGACATGTTTCTCCCCGGTTGTGTGCTGTTTCCAAGCTCAGCAGGGTCTCCTCGGGCCTGCCCTGCCGCCCCCAGGCTCTTCCCTGCTTTGTCACCCGTAGCCTCTTCCCTCTCTTTTTCCCTCAGTGCTCTTGACTTCCCAACCCACTCACAATCATTGATAACTAAGTTGAAGAACCCAGAAGCCACTGGCTTTGAGACACACACATTAGGGATGAATGAACAGGTCAGTTTCCAGGGGGCCCCAAAGTGACTTACTCTTTAACCTTCCCCAGGGAAAGCAGCCTGGAATTGAGGCTTATCTGCCCAGGGAGAGGGAAAGCCAGCAGGAGGAGAGGTCCTGGGGTACAGGGGTGTTCCCAACCTCTAGGGCCCCTGTCCAGACCCCTCCCCCTGACTCTCGGGCCCCTATCCTCCCAGGGCTTACCTTGTAGGGCTTGCACCATGTCCCCACCCCCGCGGTGTTGGCTGCGCGGACAGTGAGGCAGTAACTCGTGTTCGGCTTCAGCTCCATCAGTTTGACGGTGGTGCCCAGAATTTTATTGAAGATCCAGGGGCGGTTCTTCGCCTTGGGCATCTCACCGCTGTTTTTCCTGACCACCTCCTGTAACAGGACCTGGTAGAAACTGACCTGCTGCTTGCCAGGGGCGTAGGTCCAGGAAATCTAGGGGGAGAGAACCCCCAAGGCTTCCTCAGACCTGGTCTGGCCTGGCCTCCCCTTACCACCCCACCAGTCCCTCTGCAATGTGGGTCAGAAGACCCCATTCCCTTCCCTGCTCCCGCTGGAGCTGAGGCAGGTGTGTCCGAGAGTGATAGGCACACCCCATGTTGGATGGGGCCCCACCAGCCCAAAGCCTGAGACATTCTCCCTGGGCAGCTGCACCAACCTCAGTGTGTGCCCTCAACTCCATATTCCATAGACTGTCCATTGAAAGGGACCTTAGCAATCATCTCGTCCACCTCACTCATTGCAGATGGGGTTACAAGTTCAGAGAGAGGAGGTGTCTGGCCCATGCTGCTGCTGCTGCTGCTAAGTCACTTCAGTCGTGTCCGACTCTGTGCAACCCCATAGACGGCAGCCCACCAGGCTCCCCCGTCTCTGGGATTCTCCAGGCAAGAACACTGGAGTGGGTTGCCATTTTCTTCTCCAATGCGTGAAAGTGAAAAGTGAAAGTGAAGTGCCCAGTGGTGTCCGACTCTTGGCGACCCCATGGACTGCAGCCTACCAGGCTCCTCCGACCATGGGATTTTCCAGGCAGGAGTACTGGAGTGGGCTGCCATTGCCGTCTCCGGTCCGGCCCACGGCCACACAGCAATTACGTGCCAGAGTCAAGGTTCAGACCAATTGCTCCCGAGTCCATGCACTTTGTACTGCAGCCCTGGTTGCCAAGCCAGACTAAGGATTGCAGAGGGTTTTCCTAACACTGCAGATTCCTGGCCCTGCTGTCACTTGCCTTGTCTCCCATTTCCAGTTTCTCCTCCATCTAGGCCAGTGGTTCTCAAACTTTGGTATGCATCAGAATACCCCAGAGGACTTGTTAAAACAAGGACTGCTGGCCCCTGCGCCCAACTTCTGATTCAGCAGGCCCAATAAGGAGGGTGGGGAAAGCAAGGATTTAAATTTCTAACAAGTTGCCATATAATGCAGATGCTACTGGTGGTCTGAGGACTACACTTTGAGAAACACTGTGCTGGCCTATCCAACAATGGTCCTTCCAGATTTATCTTCCAAAGTAAGTGAAGTCACTCAGTCGTGTCCGACTCTTGGCGACCCCATGGACTGTAGCCTACCAGGCTCCTCCATCCATGGGATTTTCCAGGCAAGAGTACTGGAGTGGGTTGCCACCTCCTTCTCCAGGGGATCTTCCCGACTCAGGGATCGAACCCAGGTCTCCTGCATCGCTTTACTGTCTGAGCCACCAGATGGTATTTTCCAATATGTAACTCATATTGTATCTCTCACCTGACACAAAACGTTGCACAGAGCTGGTCCTCTCTGCTTACTGAAAAATTCCATACAGTAGCCTAACATTACAGGACCACTGGAAAATGACCCCCTCCTGCTGCTCCCTTCCTGTATCCAGAACAACGCTACTCAGCATGTGGTCTGTGGGCCATCAGCACCACCTGGGAATGTGTTAGCAATGCAGAGTCTCAGGCCCCACTCCAGACCTACTGAGTCAGAACCTCGAGGAATGAGGAATCTTGTTGGTAACATGAGGATCAGATCTGCGGGTGCCGGAAAGTGTGAGCAACCCTGAATTAGGACGTGGATGTTTCCTCCCACATGTGAGCCTTTGCTAGTGTCAGCCCTGCACAGAATGCCTTTCCTCATCTCTAGATGTCTAAGTCCGACCTCTGTGTCCCAGCTCAAATGTCACTGAACGCCACCAAAGCTTACTCCTGCAGCTGAAAGTAACGTTTCCTTCCCTCGGAATCCCCAGCGGCACTCGGTCTGAACTTTTCCTGCAGCATTGCATCTTCTCTAGCTTGCGCTGGAGTTCTTTAGGGCACACCCTCTCCTAACCCATGCACTAGAGGTCAGGATGCAGGCAGCAGGTATCCCCAGTGAGCTCAGCTCCATGCCGGGAATGTGGGGGTGGGGGAGGGAGGGCATCAAGCCTTTGCCAAATGCACGTGGGGGGAAACGCACCACAGCTGTGGAGTCGCTGACCGTGTGTTCACAGATGAAGGGCGCCTCCGGCACATCCAAGACCACAGAGGACTCCGAGGGCGTGGAGGACGTGTCTGTGTCCACCTCAGGGTTGTTGAGGTCCAGCAGACCCCCAGGGGCCATCCTGGACTTAGACTGGGGGCAGAGGGCCAGGTGCTCCTTCTCTGTGCCCTTGGCTATCGAGGAGAGGCTGAGTTTGTTCAGCTCGCCCTCCAGCATGCCCGCAAAGAAGCTGCTGTTGGGCTGGGTCACGGCCAACTTGATGGGATTCAACAAGGTAGACGACATGGGGGAGATGCTGGTGTCATCGGAGCTACATTCGGAATCCTCCACCGGCATGTGCTTCCTGGAGGGGGAGGGGAGAGGGAGACAGATGGAGGCAGCTGCCCCAGCCCTGGCAGCCCCAGGCCTGGGGCAGGACTTACCAACGCCCTCAACTGCTTTCGAGCCTCTCAGAACATTCTTGCTCTGCAGCGGTGTCACACTCACCGGGACACTTACTAGTGGAAAATGCACACTCCTGGTCCCTGGTCCCCAGCTGGGATGGCACTGGGGAAGCTGCTAAAGCATCTCTCATAAGAGCCTCAGATGATTCTGATGCAAGTGTTCTGAGAACCACATTTTTAGAAACACCACTAAAGCTCCAAGTCCTTCCTCCAAGGTAGGGTGCAAACACCCCAGGGAATGACCATAACGATCTACTGGGATATGGAAAAATATCTAAAAGTATCTAAAAGAAAAATAATAAGTTTTATTAAATATTTATTTACTGTTGTTTAATATGTAACTACTACATTTATTTACTTAGATTTTTATGACAGTTACCAATATGTATTAATATATAGCATGTAAGATTAACGGCACAGATAAATATACATTTATTGGGGTGAATGCTCAAAACTTTTCTTCCATTCTAATTTTTTTATTTTTAAAAACTATTTGTTTATTTATGTGTTTTTGGCTGTGCTGGGTCTTCATTGCCGCACAGGCTTTCTGTGGTTGCAGGGAGCAGGGGCTACTCTCCAGTTGCGGTGCTCAGCTTCTCGTTGCGGCGGCTTCTCTTGTTGTGGAGCACGGGCTCTAGGGCGTGCGGGCTTCAGTAGTTGCAGCTCCTGGGCCTTAGAGCACAGGCTCATTAACTGTGACGCCCGGGCCTAGCTGCTCCATGCCATGTGGGATCTTCCAGGGCCAGGGACTGAACCCATGTCTCCTGCATTGGGAGGCGGATTCTTTACCACTAAGCCACCAGGGAAGTCCTCTAATCTTTTTTTTTTAATTGTGAAATATTTCAGACTCATTCAAGATATCAAGGATAATATGTTCACGGGGAGGTAATGTACAAAGTGACATGAACGTAGTGACTAAACCACCACCATACCAATGTACAAAGTGGTGGCTATAATTAACAATATTGTATATTTGAAAGTTCCTAAGAGATTAGGTCTTAAAAGCTCTCATCTCACACACAAAAATTTGTAACTGTGTGGTGATGGATGTTAACTAAGCTTATTGGGGTAATGATTTCATAACACATACAATTATCAAATCATGTTGCATACTTTAAACTAATGCAATGTTAAATGTCAATTGTGTCTCAATAAAACTGGAAAAAATGATCCTATTATATTAAGCTTCCATTTAGCTTCTATCCAACTCAGAACTAAAGCTGTATCAGTGTTGCTAAAGCCCCTTGTGTTCTGCTCACCTAACGCTCTCCTGATACTCTCCCTCAGAGGCAGCCAGAGCAGTAAATTTAAAATTTTGTGTTTATTACTCCCCATGTGTTTTTATAGGTTTGTTAGATATGTATGTTATTATTTTGCATAATTTAAACTTTATATAAATAAATGGTATCATTACATATTCATTTGCAGTTTGCTGTTTTCTTACTTAAAACATTGTATTTTTTAGATTAATCTGCTCTGGTTCAGTCATTTTAACTGCTGTATGGTGTTCTGTTACACAGATATTTGTATCGTTACCAATTCTTGGCTGTTACAAAGAAAAACCTTGCCCGTGTTTCTCCACTCTTTAAATTTTTTGCTGATGAAGTACAGGATCCAAAAAATTTAACTTTCAAATCTTTTTTTTTTTTTTACCTTGAGCTAAAATAAGGAGGGAACACAGCTCCACCCATCAACAGAAAATTGGATTAAAGATTAACTGGACATGGCCCTGCCCATCAGAACCCCAGTATCCCCCTCAGTCAGTCTATCCCATCAGGAAGCTTTCATAAGCCTCTTATCCTTCTCTATCAGAGGGCAGACAGACTGAAAACCACCATCACAGAAAACAAACCAATCTAACCACATAGACCACAGCCTTGTCTAACTCAATGAAACTATGAGCCATGCCACGTAGGGCCACCCAAGATGGATGGGTCATGGTGGAGAGTTCTGACAAAATGTGGTCCACTGGAGAAGGGAATGGCAAACCACTTCAATATTCCTGCCTTGAGAATCCCATGAACACTATGAAAAGACAAAAAGATAGGATACTGAAAGATGAACTCCCCAGGTCGGTAGGTGCCCAATATGCTACTGAAGATCAGTGGAGAAACAACTCCAGAAAGAATGAAGAGATGGAGCCAAAGCAAAAACAACACCCAGCTGTGGATGTGACTGGTGATGGAAGTAAAGTCCGATGCTGTAAAGAGCAATATTGCTCTTTTGAGCATTACTTTACTAGCTTTACTAGGAACCTGGAATGTTAGGTCCATGAATCAAGGCAAATTGGAAGTGATCAAAGAGAAGATGGCGAGTGAACTTCAACACTTTAGGAATCAGCGAACTAAAATGGACTGGAATGGGTGAATTTAACTCAGATGACCATTATACCTACTACTGTGGGCAGGAACCCCTTAGAAGAAATGGAGTAGCCGTCATAGTCAACAAAAGAGTCCAAAATGCAGTACTTGGATGCAATCTCAAAAATGACAGAATGATCTCTGTTCGTCTCCAAGGCAGACCATTCAATATCACGGTAATCCAAGTCTATGCCCTGACCAGTAATGCTGAAGAAGCTGAACTAACACCCCAAAAAGATGTCCTTTTCATCATAGGGGACTGGAATGCAAAAATAGGAAGTCAAGAAACACCTGGAGTAACAGGCAAATTTGGCCTTGGAGTACAGAATGAAGCAGGGCAAAAGCTAATAGAGTTCTGCCAAGACAATGCACTGGTCATAGCAAACACCCTCTTCCAACAACACAAGGGAAGACTCTACACATGGACATCACCAGATGGTCAACACCATCTGGTTATATTCTTTGCAGCCAAAGATGGAGAAGCTCTATACAGTCAGCAAAAACAAGACCAGGAGCTGACTGTGGCTCAGATCATGAACTCCTTATTGCCAAATTCAGACTTAAATTGAAGAAAGTAGGGAAAACCACTAGACTATTCAGATAAGACCTAAATCAAATCCCTTATGATTATACAGTGGAAGTGAGAAATAGTTTTAAGGGACTAGATCTGATATACAGAGTGCCTGATGAATTATGGATGGAGGTTCATGACATTGTACAGGAGACAGGGAACAAGACCATCCCCAAGGGAAAAAAAAAATGCAAAAAAGCAAAATGGCTGTCTGAAGAGGCCTTACAAATAGCTATGAAAAGAAGAGAAGTGAAAAAAAAAAAAAAGAAGAGAAGTGAAAGGCAAAGGAGAAAAGGAAAGATATCCATTTGAATGCAGAGTTCCAAAGAATACCAAGGAGAGAGAAGAAAGCCTTCCTCAGTGATCAGTGCAAAGAAATAGAGGAAAACAATAGGAAAGACTAGAGATCTCTTCAAGAAAATTAGAGATACCAAGGGGACATTTCATGCAAAGACGGGCTCAATAAAGGACGGAAATGGTATGGACCTAACAGAAGCAGAAGATATTAAGAAGAGGTGGCAAGAATACACAGAAGAACTATACAAAAAAGATCTTCACGACCCAGATAATCACGATGGTGTGATCACTCACCTAGAGCCAGACATCCTGGAACGTGAAGTCAAGTGGGCCTTAGGAAGCATCACTATGAACAAAGCTAGAGGAGGTGATGGAATTCCAGTTGAGCTATTTCAAACCCTGAAAGATGATGCTGTGAAAGTGCTGCACTCAATATGCCAGCAAATTTGGAAAACTCAGCAGTGGCCACAGGACTGGAAAAGGTCAGTTTTCATTCCAATCCCAAACAAAGGCAATGCCAAACAATGCTCAGACTACCACACGATTTCACTCATCTCACAAGCTAGTAAAGTAATGCTCAAAATTCTCCAAGCCAGGCTTCAGCAATACGTGAACCGTGAACTTCCAGATGTTCAAGCTGGTTTTAGAAAAGGCAGAAGAACCAGAGATCAAATTGCCAACATCTGCTGAATCATCGAAAAAGCAAGAGAGTTCCAGAAAAACATCTATTTCTGCTTTATTGACTATGCCAAAGCCTTTGACTGTGTGGATCACAACAAACTGTGGAAAATTCTTCAAGAGGTGGGAATGTCAGACCACCTGACCTGCCTCTTGAGAAATCTGTATGCAGGTCAGGAAGCAACAGTTAGAACTGGACATGGAACAACTGACTGGTTCCAAATAGGGAAAGGAGTACATCCAGGCTGTATATTGTCACCCTGCTTATTTAACTTCTATGCAGAGTACATCATGAGAAACGCTGGGCTGGAGGAAGCACAAGCTGGAATCAAGATTGCTGGGAGAAATATCAATAACCTCAGATATGCAGATGACACCACCCTTATGGCAGAAATTGAAGAACTAAAGAGCCTCTTGATGAAAGTGAAAGAGAAGAGTGAAAAATTTTGCTTAAAGCTTAACATTCAGAAAACTAAGATCATGGCATCTGGTCCCATCACTTCATGGCAAATAGATGCAGAAACAGTGGAAACAGTGGCTGACTTTATTTTTGGGGCTCCAAAATCACTGCAGATGGTGACTGCAGTCATGAAATTAAAAGACACTTACTCCTTGGAAGGAAAGTTATGACCAACCTAGACAACATATTAAAAATCAGAGACATTACTTTGCCAACAAAGGTCTGTCTAGTCAAGGCTATGATTTTTCCAGTGGTCATGTATGGATGTGAGAGTATAAAGAAAGCTGAGCGCTGAAGAATTGATGCTTTTGAACTGTGGTGTTGGAGAAGACTCTTGAGAGTCGCTTGGACAGCAAGGAGATCCAGCCAGTCCATCCTAAAGGAGATCAGTCCTGAGTGTTCACTGGAAGGACTGATGTTGAAGCTGAAAACTCCAATACTTTGGCCACCTGATGCAAACAGCTGACTCATTTGAAAAGACCCTGTTGCTGGGAAAGATTGAGGGTAGGAAGAGAAGGGGACGACAGAGGATGAGATGGTTGAATGGCATCACCGACTCTTTGGACATGAGTTTGAGTAAACTCCAGGAGTTGGTGATGGACAGGGAGGCCTGGCATGCTGCAGTCCACGGGGTCGAAAAGAGTCCGACATGACTGAGCAAAAGAACTGAACTGAACTGAAAGTAAGAAATACATATTTCTTTACAAGCTAGTACACGCATGCCTGTGACCCCATGGACTGTAGCCTGCCAGGATCCTCTGTCCATGGGATTCTCTAGGCAAGAATACTGGATTGGATCACCATGCCCCCTCCAGGGGATCTTCTGGACCCCAGAGATTGAACCTGAGTCTCTTATGTCTTCTTCATTGGCAGGCGGGTTCTTTACCACTAGCGCCACCTGGGAAACCCCAGTATATGCATACACACACACACACACATATAACTAAAATGTTTCACAATCCAGTACTAACTGGTTTCACAAACCAGTACTTACTCTGTGTGATGTTCTCTGGAATTTAAATTCTATTTAGTTCATTTTTATAATACTAGTCTGCATCAACTAGGATGAGTTCCTGACACATTCATCGGTCATAGCCCTCAGTTGGAAGAGCCCTGTCTAGAGAAAGCAGCCATAGGGCCTATGGACACCAAGCACCTTGACGGAGGTCACCTTGGTAGTCGATGGCAGAGCTGGAACAGAAGCCGGATCTCCCGGGCCCCATGTTACACAGCTCCTGTCTGCCCCTGGTGCTTTTTGGCTCCCCTCCCCTGCTTCCTTCCCCACCTCCCCCGGCTGCTCTAGCCAGATCCAGTGACCCACACATACCCCTAGAGCCCTCACACCAGGCCAGCCTCCAGCTTCGAGGTTGACTGATCAAGGCCAAAGTTTTCTACCCTGAGCCCCAGCCCCATCAGCCTCCTCCTGTGAAATCCTGATCAACACAAACCTCCTATGCTAGCCCTTGGCGGACACTTGGAATAGGTGATTCTCCCTCCAAGGCCCTTTGTAGGCCGAAGAGTCTGGGTATGGATGTCAGTGACACTATAGATTGTCCTATGCTATGTGCTAAGTTGCTTCACTTGTGTCCAACTCTTTGTGACTGTAGCCCGCCAGGCTCCTCTCTCCATAGGATTCTCTGGTCAAGAATACCGGAGTGGGTTGCCACGTCCTTCTCCAGGGGATCTTCCCAACCCAGAGACTGAACACGAGTCTTTTATGTCTTCTGCATTAGCAAGTGGGCCCTTTACCACTGGCGCCACTTGGGAAGTCCATAAACTGTCCTTAGGAATCTCTATTTTACTTTTTATTATTTTTTTTTAAAAAGTATTTATTTGGCGGCACCAGGTCTTAGTTGCAGCACATGGGATCTTTAATTGCAGCTTGCAGACTCTTATTGTGGCATGTGGAATCTAGTTTCCCAACCAGGGATCACACCCGGGCCCCTCTGCATTGGGAGGATGGAGTCTTAGCTACTGGAACACCCGGGAAGCCCCAAGGAATCTCTGTTGAAGGTTTACTTGTTGGAAACACCAGTGCTGAAGGGGCAGCCAGACATTGGGCTATATGCTGGGCAACAACTCCTTGTGATCTTCACAGCAGCCCTGCTGGGTGGGGCCGGTCTCGTTTTACACACGGGGCACCAAGGGTCGCTGATCTTAATGAACTTGTCTATGGTCATATATCTAAGTGGTAGAACTTGGATTGAAACGTGGTTCCCAGTCTAAGACTTTCTCCCCATACCAGGAAGTTTCCTACCTGCACCCGCCACTTTAGCCATACCTGTTTACTGACAGGTACCCAAGGGAGTGACCACTGCAGCCCCTTTCACGTCATCAGGACCAGCTACATAACTTGTGGGGTCCCTTCTACAGAAATTATTAAGACCTTCAAAACAGTAACATCCAAGCATCAAACTAAACAGGGTCCTTCCAAGTGTTGGGCTGTGTTTAACTACACAGGTCACATACCCGTGAAACTTCCTGACAGACAGTTCCCTCAGCCCACGTTAACCCACTCCTCTGTCCCTCCACTGGCTAACTCCTTCCCTTCCTCTGAGAGTCACCTCCTACACGAAGACTCCCTTAACTTCACCCCCTACCAAACTATACTGAATTCCCTCTGTTTCCTCCAGTTGTCCCGTCATAGCACAGACCATGGTGTAATAGTCTCAATTCTTGTCTGACAGCCCCCCACGCCCAACCACCACCACCACCATCTCACACACACACACACACACACACACACACACACACCCCAGGCTGTGAACCCCTTAAAGGTAGAGAGTGCTTTCCAGCTCTGCATTCCCAGAACTTAACCTTGGACCAGGTACCTTGTAGGTGCCCAAAGAGTTTTGTGAAACGAAGTGAAGGAGACCCGTGATCACTGAGGAGGAACACAGACCTCAGTCTGAAGGCAGGCAGGCCTCTGGGGGCTGGGGGGTGGACATAACCAGGCAGGTGAAGGCACAATAGGGAGGATGAGCAGAGGAACCATAGGGAGAGGAGAGGGGGCTTCATGGTGAGGACCAAACAGGATGACGAGCACCGCCAACCCATCTCCAGCTAATCCCAGAAGGTTTCCCGGAGCTGGAGGCCGGCATGCCTCCAAGAATTGATTTGGGGTCAGGAATCCATAGGCAACCTGCTTACGCGCTCTTTCCTGGGAGTCTCGACTGTGATAAGTCAAGGAAGTGACGCCTCTTCAACACCCTCTTCCCCACCCCACACTCCTCCGCCCACCCAGCTCTGGCCTTAGAAAACATAAAAGGGCCAGACTCAGGTCTTACGGTAGATTGATGGCATCCTCCTCTAAGAAGTTCACCAAACTGCCCCTCGAGGAAAGTGGGAGGCCTTTGGTCGTGACGGTCCTGTTCATTGACTTGGGGTTTGGAAAGGGCTTCGACATTTGATTGAGTGCATTCAAGACATTGAGGGTTTCCTTCTTCAGCAGGGCCTCATCCCCATCTCCCACTTTGTAGAATGTCTGTGATGCCATCGAGTTTGTTTGGGACCGCAGCCGGCACCATGCAGGACAACCAAGCTGACAGGAAGCAGAGAGAAACTGCAGGCAGCAGACACACCCTTAGTTGCGGTGGGATGGGGGTGCGATGAGCTGACTTCATAATTATCACAGAGTGTAACAATTAGGAGCTACCCTCCCCCCTGACCGGGGGCTGCTGCAGCCCAGGGCCAACCTCAGGAGCCGGCGCAGCCCCAGAATAGTCGACGACGCCCCTTGGGCTAAGGCTCTGAGGTTACAGCGGCCCTGCCCTTCTCTGAAGATCTCGAAATGCTCACCACCTGTGCTCTTCCGATCTGCCCTGGGAAGGAGAAGGTGGATGGTGAGACAGTGGTACCTGGGCGTGGAGGGAGGCAGGCAGTACTGGATGGACTGGGTCCCTGGGAGTGGGACACCTCGCCGATGGAATTCTGAGACTTCATATCCAGACATGGGAGGCAGCAAACCCCGTCCCCAGCTGTGTGGGCACATCAGGGAAAGCTGGGATGGCTCATGGGGTTCAGAACACCCACATACCCAGGTTTTACTGCTGGTATTCTAAATTCTGTCCCACCCCCACTTCAAGTGTCTTCAGGTATGAAGACATGGTGGGTGGTGCAGAGGCATTCAGAAAGGGGCCAGAGGTTGTTTCTGTTCTCAAGGAAACCATGTCCCCAGGAGGAACACACACACACAGCTTTGTGGGGTGAGGAAGCCGGCAGCTGTTAAAAGAGCGATGGCTTTGCACCTGGGTGGGGCCTCCTCAGCTCTTAAGTCCAGCTCTGCCCACAGCTGCAGAGGCTGTGAAGCCTTTGGCAAATGATTTCGCCTCCGAGCCTCATTTTGCTCATCTGTAAAACAGGGATAAACATAGCACCTACCTCACTAGATGGAGAAGGAAACGGCAACCCGCTCCAGTGTTCTGGCCTGGAGAATCCCACGGGCAGAAGAGCCTGGCCGGGCTCACAAGTCCGTGGGGTCGCAAGAGTCGGACCCGACTTAGCGACCAAACCACCACCACCACCTCCTCACTAGACTGTGCGGAGCTAACCTTGTAAAGTTGTTTTCTTTCTTCCAGAGGATGAGGTCCAGCCAAGGACGTTTAAAATCCGTGTGTGTGTGTGTGTGTGTGTTCTATACACTCAGGGGTTTTATCGTTTTATGTGTAAAAATTCTTTTATTTGCAAACTAGAGAAGCAGATGCCCTCTTTGTGCTCTGCTGCTTTTTAGCAGCCATCATAATCTCGGTAATTATCTGATTTATTTGATTTGCTCTTTACTGCCTTCCTTCGCTAACAGGTAGGTCCCTGGGCGTAGGGATGGTCGATCCGATCGAACGTTCTGGCCCAGTGTTCAGAACCGAAAGCTGCACCGGGGGTGCGTGGCCCGGGAGAAGGCGGAGGCGCACGCGGGCGCTGAGCCGCCGAGCCGGGCGCGGTGACCTCCGTGCTGGGAGCCCGGCTCCGTGCCGCCCGCGCCGTCTCCGCCCCGACCTCCCGGCCCGCGCGTCCGCGGCGCGGCCGGCAGGTGGCGCCGCAGGCCGGGTCCTGGAGCCTGGAAGCCGGAAGCGGCGGCGCCGCCGGGGCGGGCTGGCCCTGGGCGCCCGGGCTCCCGAAGGGCCCGCCTTTTCCGCGCGGTCGCTGCCTCCTGCATTCTTCGCCCGTCCAGAAAGGGGCGCTGGGGTTGGGCGGGGGGGGCGACTGGAGAGGGCCCCCAGGGAACATGGGCGTGCTCCGGGCGGGGCTGTGCCCGGGCCTCACCCAGGACATGGTCCAGATCTTGCGGAGCCGCGGGATCAAGACAGGTGACCGCGGGCGCGCGCCAGTGCGGGCCACACGGCCGGCCCCGGCACACACGGCGGGGCCCTTCCCCTCCCTCCTGCGCTCCCGGGGAGCCCGGAAACGTGGGCGTGGGAGAGCCACGCCCCTGGGAGGGTAGAACCCCCCCCCTCCCCCCCGCCCAGTGTGCCCGGCCCCGCGCCGGGTCCCACGGCTCCTCCAGTCCGCACGGGCGCGGGAAAGTCAAGTGCGGGACGTCCCGGGCCTCCCTCCCTGCCCATCAGCCCCACGTGTTTCGTTTTCAGTGGTGGACCTGGTTTCTGCAGACCTGGAGGAGGTCGCCCAGAAATGTGGCCTGTCTTACAAGGTGAGCTGACCGTCTCCACGCTCCACACCTGGGGGTGTCTAAATGCCCATCCCCGAGCAGACGGGTTCCCAAAGATTGATAACTGCGGCGTCTGAGACCCCGGGAGGCCCGCTCTTCTGACGGGTCGTTGCCGAATACTTTTGGGCTGCTGCAGCCCGGATCCTGAGCCGCCCCGTCCCTTCTGCAGGCCCTGGTCGCCCTGAGACGGGTGCTGTTGGCTCAGTTCTCAGCTTTCCCCTTCAATGGCGCTGATCTCTACGAGGAACTGAAGACCTCCACGGCCATCCTGTCTACCGGCGTTGGAAGGTTTGTGTGTGTACGTGTGGGACCAGGTCAGAGGCAGGGCGACCTGATTGCCTCTAGCTGGGCTTTGGATGCTGGAGTCTGGAGCCAGCATCTGTCTTTCAGACAGTCCTGAGGACAGTCAGGACTTCTGACTGCTCTTACCCTATAAGGTTTCTCTTAACTCCTAACTTTTGGGGATGCAGAATTATTGGGGGGGGCCTGTCCTGCATGTAGAGTAGGTTGTTTGGCAGCTTCCCTGGCCTCTGCCTGCTAGATACCAGTAGCACCTCTGTTCTCCCCTTGTCTGATAGTCAAAAATGTCTCCAGCTGTGACCTCTGGGTGGGTTGGGGGCAAAATTGCAGCTGGCTGAGAACCACTGAAACACAAGATGTCAGTATTTCATTATTATTCAGCAAATCAGGGCAGCTCTTCTCTGGCCCTACCTCCCCATCCATTTAAGGATGGATGGGGCAAGAGAGTGTGGCAGGACTAGGTTAAGTACCAGCCATTGACACGTAGTAGGTTATACAATGGAGCAGGGAAGAATTGCTGCCTTCAAACTTTGGTGCTGGAGAAGACTTCTGAGAGTCCCTTGGACAGCAAGGAGATCGAACCAGTCAATCTTAAGGGAAATCAACCCTGAATATTTGTTGGAAGGACCGATGCTGAAGCTGAAATTCCAGTATTTTGGTCATCTGATGTAAACCCCTGATTCTGGGAAAGATTGAAGGCAGAAGGAAAAGAGGGCATCAGAGGATGAGATGGTTAGATGACATCACCGATGCAATGAACATGAACTTGGGCAAACTTCCGGAGACAACGAAGGACAGAAAGGCCTGGCATGCTGTAGTCCACGGGGCCGCAAAGAGTCAGACACAACTGGGCAACCGAATAACAACAGCAAGGTTATACAATAGGTTGTATGATCTCTTTGTGACCCTGTGAGTTCGTGATTACTAACCCCACTTGAGTTTAGCACAGGAGGAGCTAGGGGCAGTGGTGGGGCTCCAGCCCTGGGGTACTTATTCCTGAACTTGGTTCATTCCTTGTACACTGCAGCAGGAGTGGGCGAGAGTAGTTTCCTTCTGCCATGTTTGGAGAGAGAAAGAGTTGGAAGAAAACAGGCGGCTTCTGGCCAAGGGAGTCTGACTGCTTCCCTGGCCTGCTTGTGTGGAATTTGATAAAGAACTCTGCCACCACAAAGGTCTTTGGATCGGTTTGGCCCTCGCTGTTTCCATAACACGTTCTCTTGGCAGGGTTCACATAACACAGTGCTTGCTTTCCCTGGTTTGAGGGTTCAGGTCTTTCATTCATCAGGCACTAGCCAGTGTTAAGCATGGGTACCAGAGATGTGCAGATGGTATGGGTACGGCTGAGACCCCTGCCCTTAAGGAAGCTGGGGTCCACTGGGTGGAGAAGAACAGGTGGACATGGGAGAGGTGTGAGCACGCCTGCAAGCAGCTAAGGCGGGGGTAATTAAAAGGAAGCAGGCTTGGCCTTTGGGAGTTTATAAAACCAGAGTTTATAAAATACAGAGAGAGCGGTCAGGTGGTAAACTGGCAGAATGGCGGCCACCATGGGTCACTGCAGAGGAGATCAGAGAGGTTCAGGACCGCTCTGTGCAGTGAGGAATGGATGGGCCTTCTCTGAGTGCTCATCAGGAAGCAGGCACTGTTACTCTAGGTACATTATTTCATTTATCTTCACATCTACTTCCCCGATGGCTCGGTGGATAAAGAATCTACCTGCAGTGCAAGAGACACAGGAGATGTGGGTTCAATCCCTGGATCAGGAAGAGCCCCTGGAGAAGAAAATGGCAACCTACTCCAGTATTTTTGCCTGGAAAATCCCATGGACAGTGGAGCCTGGTGGGCTGCAGTCCATGGGGTCACAAAGAGGCAGACACAACTGAGCAACTAACACTTTCACAACTACAGTGAGCCTGTGGCTGTGAAAATCACCACCCTGGGACCTCGCTGGCGGTCCAGTGGTTAAGACTGCACCTTCCATTGCAGGGGGTGCAGGTTTGATCCCTGGTCGGGCAGCTAAGACCCCACATGCCTTGTGGCCAAGAAACCAAAACATAAAGCAGAAGCAATATTGTAGCAAATTCAGTAGAGGCTTTAAAAATGGCTCATTCACATCAAATATTCTTTAAAAAGAAATGAAAGCCATCATCCTGTAGATAAGGAAACTGGGACTCAGGTTAAGAGACTTGCTCAAGATCCCCCAGCTAGGGATTTCCCAGGTGGTCCAGTGGTTAGGACTCCTGTTCTTCCACTGCAGTTTGATACCTGGTTCAGAAACTACGATCCCACAAGCCGGGTGGCATAGCCAAAGGGAAAAAAAAAAGATCCTGCAGTGAGTAAGTGGCAGACCAGGCCCTTGAGGTCACACCTGTCACACTGCTAAGCCTAAGAACTCAGCTCTAAGGCATCTGCCCTTTGCTCCCTCCAGGCAGGAGAAGTAGTTACAGGCACAGTGGAGGTGGGCGGGGTGGATGGGGCTGGGGAGGCTGGCAGGAAAGGCCCAGGAGGATACAGCAGGGGAGGGTGTTGTGAGCAGATCTGGGGCGGGTGACAGCAGGAGGCATATTGAAGAAATGCTGTAAGCCTTCCTGCTGGGGGGATACAAAGGTGGCAAATCAAAGATGACCTCTAGGTTTCTAGCCTTTGTCACAGTGGTCTTTGGACACCTGATGGGTATTACTCTGACATGGGAGGGGAGGGGAGTTCTGTAGTCAACAGCTCACAAAATGCTGGTTAACCCAAATGAAGCAGGTTTCTCTGTTTTTTTATCGGCCTTTTTTTTTTTTGACATGCCATTTATCATGTGGGATCTTAGTTTCCCAACCAGGGAACTGAACCTGAGCCTCCTGTCTTGGAAGCAAGGAGTCTTAACCCCTGGACTGCCAGGGACATCCCTCTGCTGTAGATCTTCTCACCGCCTGTAGTGCTGGGGGCATCTTACAAGTGGGAGAGCAGGCAGCGAGCCTCGGAAGCAGCTGTATTGACTAGGGGAGATGGGGGGTTCCTTGAAGGCCAGAGCTGTGTCTTGTTCATCTCTGCCTCCTCCTTGTTTTAGAAAAAGGCCTTTAGGAAATGTGAGACAGTCAGACGATGTTTGAATGAGTGACTGAAGGAATGAACGAAAGTCAGTCAGAGGGGAAGGTGGAGGATAAATTCCAGACAGCACTTGTGTTCAAAACAGGGGGTTAGGCTCAGTTATACTTCTGTTCCACAAGGCAGGTGGTGGGGGGGTCTATCCATGTCAAGGTGGATTTGGGAATTCCTTATGGAGATCCTCATGGCCAGGAATGCGACTGATTCTTTTTTTTTTTTTTTGCGACTGATTCTTGACTGTAGAGTCCAGACCTGTGGTTTAGCCCAGGCTGTTCATTAGAATCATTTGGGAAGCTTAAGAAATACTCATGCTTGGGTCTCTTTAGAAATTCTTTGTTTTCCGGCCACGCCATGTGAGATCTTAGTTCCCTGACCAGGTATGGAACCTGTGCCCCCTGCATTGGGAGCACAGAGTCTTAACCCCTGGACCACCAGGGAAGTCAACATTTTTTAAATAACATGATAATAATGGAGAACAGATTAAGCAGTTGCCAGGGGCTGGCTAGGGATTTAGGGGTGAACGGGTGGGGGTGTGGCTATAAAAGGGTGGCCCAGGGAGCCCTGTGGCGATGGAAATGCTCTGTCTTGACTGCAGTGGTTCCATAAAGCCACATGTGGGATGAAATGACAGAGAACTGTACACGTGGACACACGTGGAAGGAAAGCAGGTGCAGCTCTGGACCGCACCGGTGTTGTTTTTCGATGTTGCGCATCTTAGTGTAAAAGATGCTACCTTAGTGGAAACCAGCTGAAGGGTACACGGGACCTCACTACACGTTGTTTGTTTTTGCAACTTCCTGTGAATCTATAATTATTTCAGAGTTTTAAAGCATGACAAATTATGGGCTGTGCTATCGAGGAAACCCAGCAGGGGCTGCGATGGAGATTGAGAGGAGAACCATTGAGTGGGGCAGCGAAGAGACCTCCGCAGAGGAGTGATTACCCAGAGGTGATCTTTTAAGGCGAGAGTGAAAGGATGAGGGGTCAGAGGGGGAACACTCGCCCGTGCCGGCTTTCCCCAAAGGAGACTCCACAAGGAGAAGCCTCCTGGCCAGAGATGTCAGAACATCTCTGGACAGAACAGCACTTGGAAGGAATGTCTTGCTGTTCCTCCTCCCCTCCTCTCCTCCCTCCCCTCCAGTCCCTTCGGTTGATGCTCTGCCCTCCTCTTTTGCCATCAGCCTGGACAAACTGCTAGATGCTGGTCTCTACACTGGAGAAGTGACTGAAATTGCAGGCGCCCCGGGGAGCGGCAAAACCCAGGTACACCTGCGGCCAGCAGGGTTGGGGGAGGGGGATGCATAGTCCTGGGTCTCTGGGGAAGCTTCTGCCAGCATCCTGTGATTTCAGAGCTTGGAAGAGAGAAGCTGGGTGGTGAGGAGCGGTACTTGAACTCGCGTCTTGGGGCCCATTCATGCCTCTGGGATCTGGATGAGATCTGGCGGGGGGGGCTCCCATTCTGGGCCCTTCTGGGGCTCAGTCTCACCCAATGGCCTGTCTCTACTCAGGTATGTCTTTGTGTGGCAGCAAACGTGGCCCATGGCCTGCAGCAGAACGTCCTCTACGTTGATTCCAATGGAGGGCTCACAGCCTCCCGCATCCTCCAGTTGCTTCAGGCCAGGACCCCGGACGAGGAGGAGCAGGTAAAGGGCAGGAAGGTTGGGTTCTTTTGAGGTTCTGACGCCATAAGACCACATTATCTAACGTGGCAAGAATTTGGACCATTTGGGTGACTAGTCATTTCTGGTTTTGAAACTTGCCGTTCAGCCAATGCTTCCTGTATTGTAAAGCCTCCACTTTATGACATCATCCCAGTTGGATGCTACCCACAAGGATCCTTCCTAGAAACCCAGCCCCTGGCATCCCCTCATTCAGGGCAGACACACGCCCAGCATCTGTGTTTCTCCCCCATATCTTGCCCAGGGCAGACACGCTGATCACTGTCACTCCTTCCCACGGAGCTCTGACTTGGCTTTGCAGCTCAGCACCCAGGCAGCCAGCATGCTGAGAACTGGCCCATCAAACAAAGCCCATCGCCATCCCTACCCGAGTCCTTGTGTCTTAAGTGCCTCTTCTCTCTCAACCACAGGATCCCTCTTCCTCTCGTGTGACCCCCAGCTCCTCTTCTCTAAGGCCCTCCCTTCTCTCTCCTGCCCCTTCAGGCAGGAGCTCTCCAGAGGATCCAGGTGGTGCGTGCGTTTGACATCTTCCAGATGCTGGACGTGCTGCAGGACCTGCGAGGCGCTGTGTCCCAGCAGGTGAGCCTGATCTTCTGCCCTCCCTGCTCCCTGCAGCTCACCCATGCTGTCTGCGTGTGGGCAGGTGTGCAATCGGGTGACTCTAGCTGTGCCTGCCATTCCCAGAATGGGATTTCTGGGTGCTCAGTCCTTTCCCTTCTCAATTCTTTGCCTCCTCGTTCACATGCCTGTCTTCCCCACTAAAGGGTAAGCCCCTTTCTTGAGTGCAAGGATCAGTCCTGTTGTCTCTGCATTCCAACCGGGTCCATTCAGCTGCAAATAATAGAGTCTGTCTGACAGACACTTGAGCCTTGAGGACATTTAATTATCTCACATATGAGTCTGGAGGTTGGTACACCCATAAAATCAGGGCTCTAGGTTGGTGTGCCTGATTCTCTGGCTCTTCCCCCTCATGATTGCAGAGTGGCTGCCATGGCTCCAAGCATCATGTCTTCACACATCCATATCCAGGGCAGTGATAGATGCCTCTTTTCTGTACCTTTTTCTCTGGAACCCACCATTACACTTTCCAGTTCCCTTTATATCTAACTGGCAAAAATTGAGTTGTGTTTTTATGTCCTAGACCAGAGGTTGGGCCCACCTTCCCTGATGTCAGGAGATTTTCTGCCCAGTGCTTGAACACATTCAGAGTCCTGTTGACAAGGGAGAGAGGTTAGGAATGGCATTTGCATTGGTACCCTACCTGATAGGTGCTTGGATAGGATATGGTGCATGATTTATATACCTTTACATTTGGGAGAAACCTTAGAGAGACTAGTTTAATTTATCTTAAACTTTTTGTCTCACCCCAAAGCATATCATATTACTAGGGTTGTATGTAACATAAATCGTTTTAACAAACTTTAGACCATATAATGGTTGAACGAATACTTGGCACAGGAATCATAGCAGGTTATGCCTCCCCATGTGTTGGGACATGAAGTAGTCCTGACCTAATCCGACTCTCTTGTTGGAACTGAGCAAAGTGAGGGCCAGAGACCTTCAGTGAGTTGCCCATAGTCACCGCATATTTTGGATAAGAACCAAGCTTAGGAACTTCCCTGGTGGTCCAGTGGTTAAGACGCTGCACTTCCATTGCAAGGGGCATGAGTTTGATCCCAGGTTGGAGAACTAAGATCCTAAATACCTCATGGCCAAAAAACCTTTTTTTTTTTTTTAACATTAAGAGCAAAGCTTATAACCCAAACCTCTCAACTCCCAGGTCAAAAGACTTTTTTTTTTTTGGACTGTAGCACTGTAAGATGATATGTATTCTATTATTGCATAGCAAGTTACTGCAAACTATGACTTAAAACAACACGTATTTATTATCTCAATTTCTGTAGGTCAGAAGTCTGGGCACAGCTTGGCCTGGTCCTCTCCTTAGGGTCTCATTAGGTTGTGATGAAGGTGGTAGGTGGGCTGTACTCTTATCTGTAGGCTCAGCTGGGGAAGAACCACTTCAAAGTTCATTCAGATTTTTGGCAGAATTCATTTCCTAGAGGTTTCAGCTTCTTGCTGGCAGCTGGTTGTTGGCTGAGGCCATCTTCAAGTCCTCAAAGCTGCCCACTATTCCTGCCGTGTGCTTTCCATAGGCAGTTCACAGCAAGGCTGCTTGCTTCTGCACGACAGCACACGTGTGAGAACGGAATGCAACAGGTTGTCCTGTGTGACAATGTGACCATGGGCTGGCAGTGCGTTCTGTTTGACATATAATGAAGCCTAATCAGAAGAGTGACATCTGGGACTCCCCTGGTGGTCCAGTGGTTAAGACTTCGCCTTCCAATGCAGGGGGTGCAGGTTCGATCCCTGGTCAAGGAGCTAATATTTCAATGCCTCGGGGCCAAAAAACTAAAACATAAAACAGAAGCAATATTGTAAGAAACTCCATAAAAAGTTTAAAAATGGTTCACATCAAAACAGTCTTTTTACAAAACAAAAGAAAAAATTTTCTGATCGGGGACCATAGGATCTGAGCACAGATTTCTCAAATTTAATTATTTTAGAGTATCTGATATCCTGTGATTTAAACTTTTTCTGTCCATCCAAGTCTTCAGTGAAAGTGCAAGTGCAAGTCGCTCAGTCGTGTCCGACTCTTTGCAACCCCATGGACTATACAGTCGGTGGAATTCTCCAGGCCAGAATACTGGAGTGGGTTGCCATGCCCTCCTCCAGCGGATCTTCCCAATCCAGGGATTGAACCCAGCTCTCCCGCATTGCAGGTGGATTCTTTACCAGCTGAGCCACCAGGGAAGCCCAGGTCTTCAGTATAATCTGTTATACATACACACGAGGGTGGGGGGAGAAAGCATTGCTTGAGTTCCATCATTGAGGGGCAGCTGTATTTGGGGTGGGAGAGGGTGTTTCCTACCAGTTTCTGATAGAGGAGCAGGTTTGTCTGGTAACGGGCGCCCCCTGGAGGCCAACTGGTTGGTCGCACCTGCTTCCCATCACCCGCCAGGTCCGCAGTTCTTCCGGGACTCTGAAGGTGGTGGTTGTGGACTCCGTCGCTGCGGTGGTCGCCCCACTTCTGGGAGGTCAGCAGAGGGAAGGTGAGTGGTGTGGCAGAGCGCAGGGTGGAGGGTCGTGATCTTGCCTGCTGGCTCTGGAGTGTCCCGTCTTCGGCCAGCCTGGTCCCCGATGCCCACCCTCTTTGCTTTTTCTCCTCCAGGCTTGGCCTTGATGATGCAGCTGGCCCGAGAGCTGAAAACCCTGGCCCGGGACCTCAGTGTGGCAGTGCTGGTGAGGCTTGGCTAGCCATGCTTGCCTTCTCTCTGGTCCCTGGACTTCGCCAAGTGGGGAGGTGTTCTTTCTAGGTGCTCTTTATTTCCTTAAAACAGCAGCTTCTGAAGCCCCAGAGTGACCCTTTGGGAAAGGGTCATAGCCCAACTTCTGTGGGTCATCTAGAGTGCCAGACTCTGAAGGGATCAGACACGTAAACAGCCAGGGGATCAGGCAATGTTATCTTTAACACTTTAAAAAAATTAATTATTTGGCTGCACTGGGACTTAGTGGCAGCGTGCGGCATCTTTAGTTGTAGCATGCTGGATCTAGTTCCGCATGCAGGGATCGAGCCTGAGCCCCCTGCATTGGGAGTGCACAGTCTTAGCCACTGAACCACCAGGGAAGTCCAGGGACAGTCTTGTTTTTCTTTTTACTTTCTTTTAAGTCAGGTTTATTGAGGTGTAATTCACACAGAGTAACTTCTCTTTGTTTGAGGTTTGATACAGTGGTATCTGAAGAGATCAAGATACAGAATATTTCAATCACCCCAGAAAGGTGCCTTTTCCAGAGCTTCATAGAAAAGGGATCTTTTTTGCTTTTAAAGTAACTTTTTCTGCTTATGCAGTAATTTTTTGAAAGTCTTCACACTTCTCATAGAAAGGGTAAAAAATAGTTAAATATAAGTGTCCAGTTTGTAATCAATCTCCACATCCACAGAGACCATATTAGTGTTTTTTTTACATACCTTCATTGAATCTTTTTTCTCTACCTATGTACATATACTTTTAATCAACTTTCCAACTAAACTGTAATCTTATGGTTTTTTTTTTTTAAAGGACACCATTTCTCGAATCTTTTAATAGGTTCTTTAAGAATGCCATTTTTAGCAGCTACATGTTTGGGGGTGGGGGGCTGCGCTGGGTCTTTGTTGCTGGGCATGGGCTTTCTCTGGTTGCAGCAAGTGGGGGCTGCTCTTGGACGCAGTGTGCAGGCTTCTCATTGTGGAGCACGGGCGCGCGAGCACAGGCTCAGTAGTTGTGATCCAGGCATTAGTTGCCCCGCATCATATGGAATCTTTCCGGAGCGGGAATCAAACCCATGTCCCCTGCAGGCAGACTCTTAACCACTGGACCACCAGGGAAATCAGGCTGCATGTTATTTTGTTTAATACCATGTTACAGGGGGCAACTTTTTCTCTAAAGGACCAGGTAGTAAATATAGTTGGTCTTCCCTATCCATGGGTTCTGCATCTGTGGATTCAACCAACCACTGCTCGAATCCACAGTTGAACCTGCGAATATGGAACCTGTGGATATGCAGGGCCAACTAAACTACACCATTTTATTGATTTCTTTTGGCTGTATCAGGTCTTAGTTGCAACAGGGGGGTTTAGTTGCCCTGAGGCACATGTTATCTTGTTTCCCAGACCAGGAATTGAACCCGTGTCCCTTGCATTGGAAGGTGGATTCTTAACCGCTGGACCACCAGGGAAGTCCCTACACCTTTTCATGTGAGATGAGCATCCACAGCTTTGCTATCCGTAGGGTTCTGGAACCAATCCCCCTACAGATAATGAGGGATGGCTATCTTAGTTTTACAGTCAGATAGTCTGTGTCACAGCTGCTTAACTGCCTATATTGCATGAGAGCAACCATAGACAATCCCTAAACAAGTGGGCATGGCTATGTTCCAATAAAACTTGATTTTCAGAAACATTTCTGGGGCCAGATTTGGCCTGTGGACAGTAGTTTGCAGTCCCTGGAATACCACAGCAGTCTTATTTCCTGATTTGGGGACTTTATGGGTCATTAACAGGTTTCCTCTATTTATTTTATTTATTTTTAAAATATTTACTTGGCTAAATAAATAAATAAATAAATCATATACTTGGCTGTGTCAGGGCATAGTTGCAGCACGTGGGATCTTTGTTGCATCCTGGGGGGGGCGGGGGTCTTTCTTTGCTGCACACCGGCTCTCTAGTTGTGGCGTTGCGGGCTCAGTCGTTGCAGCACACAGGCTTGGTTGCTCTGTGGCACGTGGGATCTTAGCTCCCAGAACAAGGATCGAACGCATGCCCCTGCATTGCAAGATGGATTCTTAACCACTGGACTGCCAGGGAAGTCCCAGTTTTTATTTATTTATTTATGTTAAATGATCCTCTCAGCCCTGTTCTTAGAACGGCATCCTAAGCTGAGATCAGGGAGGCTGCCGTGCGTCCTGCTGGACCCGCCTCTTAGAACTGAGTACAGGGGAGCAGAAAAAGCATAGGGCAGGACAAGAGTTTTCCTCCCTTTTAAATAAGACTATAGTGAACATCCTTATATCTAAATCTCTTTGTATACCTCATATTTTTTTCAGACTCCTAAAAGTACAGTCAGTGAGTCAGGGACACGTGTATTTGTAAATAGCCTTGATATGACACTGCTTTTTTGTGCAGTGTAAAAGGATCCGTTTTCCTATTATTTTGTTCTTTTACTGGATCCCAAGGCCATCCTCTCCTGACTGTAGGGTCTATGTGAGTGCCTGCTGTGTGCCAGGTTCTGGCTTAGGCAGCAGAGATTCAGTGATGAACAAGCCACACCTCTGCCCCAGGGTGGGAGCTGGGGGGCGGGGGGCAAGGGGAAAACCTCAAGAGGATGCGGTGAGGTTGAAGTCCCTTACCTAAGACTAGCCTGGGCAGGGTAGAGCTGACCGACCGTAATAGGATCCCCCTGCCTTCGCAAACCCCTCCCACCTCTATACACAGGTGCACACCCTGACACAAAGTGGTGGGTGGACATGATCTCAGGATGCCCGTCTGCTGGAGTTGAGGGTGAAAAGTGAAAGTCACTCAGTCACATACAGTTCTTTGGGACCCCTTGGACTGTAGCCCACCAGGCTCCTCTGTCCATGAGATTCTCCAGGCCAGAATCCTGGAATGGGTAGCCATCCCCTTCTCGACCCAGGAATCGAACCTAGGTCTCCTGCATTGCAGGCAGATTCTTTACCACTAGCACCACCTGGGAAGTGTAGTAGACCTAAGCAGACAGCCTGCTTATCCTCAGACACTTGCCCCGTTACCTTTTGTTTTAGTCAAGCCATTGTGGGGCCTTGTGGCTTATTTATCTATTTTTAAATATTTGTTTATTTTTGGCTGTGCTGGGTCTTCATTGCTGCACACAGACTTGCTCTGGTTGCGGCGAGTGGGCGCAGTGCAGTCTTATTGCGGTGGCTTCTCTTATTTCGGAGCACAGGCTCTAGCGTGCACAGGCTTCGGTATTTCCGGCTCACGGGCTCTAGAGCGGACTCAGTAGTTGTGGTGCACGGGCTTAGCTGCCTCGCAGCATGTGAAATCTTCCTGGACCAGGGCTCAAACCCATGTCCTCTGCACTGGCAGGCAGATTCTTAACCATGGATCACCAGGGAAGTCCCGGCATCAATGGTTAAGTGGCAAGAGCTCTGTGCAAGTCAGGAGCCCAGGGTTCTGACTCTAGACTGGTGATAAGTCATGGAGCCTTGGGGAAGTCGTTTCCTTGTACCTGGCCTCAGCTTTCCCATGTGTAAAATGAAGCCATAGGAGCAAATGTCCCAGCATTATGGGTCTATAAGCCTCTTTCTGCCGCAGGTGACCAATCACACGACCCGAGACAGGGACAGCGGGCAGCTCAAACCTGCCCTGGGACGCTCCTGGAGCTTCGTGCCCAGCACCCGGCTTCTCCTGGACAGTGCCCAAGGCTCAGGAGCTCTGGGCAGCCGACGCGTGGCGTGTCTGACCAAATCCCCCCGTCTGGTGAGCCGGCCCCAGGGGAAAGCCAGGAATCCAGGCCCTTGAGGGTGGCTTCCATGCCTGCAGATGTCTGTGAATTCCTGAAGGCTGAGACCCTGCAGCCAAAGAAGCTACCCACGTGGGCTGCTCAACTCAAACACTCACGCTTCCCTCCTGTCTTCTTCCAGCCAACAGGTTGCCAGGAGACGGTGGACTTAGGGAGCTGGGGGACCCCAGCGTTCCAGGGAGATCACAAAGGACACTGGGAGCAGAGCCCAGTGTTCCCGGGAGATCACACATGATGGTGCTGTTGATGGGGAAAGGGACAGGCCGCAAGGCCCCCAGCTCACCTGCACGGTAATGCCTGCTGCTCGCTGCCGGCAGCCCCTGAGGCGCTAGAGACACTGTCTCATCTGGAAGCCATCTCAGCCCTTAGCTCCTCTCTCCAGAAACACAGCGCTACTGGCAAGAGAGGATGCTGTTGTGGAAGGACCCAGAAATTAAAGCTGGTACCAGGTTTTCATCCCTTGTGTCTACCATGTGTGTTTCCAGCGGGAGCCGGGTTCATGGACTTGGGCATCTCTCAAGAGGCACCCTGGTGCCCAGATGGATTAACCCTGCACATCACCGTCCTACCCTCCATCCTGACATAGTGACTGAGCTTGAGGCCTCTGGCTTGCCTTTGTTTCCCTTCTTTTTTTTTTCCCCCTTTGCCTCTGTTTTTCCATTTGTAAGATGGGGCTCCTTTCCCCTTAACTCTGACTTTGACTTACCGGGTGGAGTAACCTTGTAAATGCAACCCATGTGTGTGTATGCTCAGTCGTGTCTGACTCTTTGTGACCCCATGAACTGTAGCCCACCAGGCTCCTCTGTCCGTGGAATTTTCCAGGCAAGAATACTGGAGCGGGTTGTCATTTCCTCCTCCAGGGGATCTTCCCAACCCGGAAATCGAACCCGTGTCTCTTGGCATCTCTTGCGTTGGCGGGCAGATTCTTTACCACTAGTGCCAAAACTCTTCCTTATCTAGATCCTGCTCTTTAAAACATATTAATACAAAAGAAATTCACTGAGCTGCAGAGCCATTTGTTTTCCCTCAGATGGTGGCTTTTCAGTTTCCCCGAGTGAGGCCCCCCAGAGAACCCCCGTTCCTCTTTCCCTCTTGTTGATTTGGTTTCACACACCTGCATGCATCACGGTGACCAGATGAGACCGGGAGCTCACTGCAGTCCCAAGGATATAATCTAAGAGGGAGGGAAGATATGACCTGGCCCCGGTGAATCCAGCCGCCTGTTTAATGTGCGTGGGGCCCTGGGGGGCCCCTCCCCCGCGAGAGTAAGCCGAGGTGCTGAACCATGGCCTTGCCCATAAACAGGGGAGAATTTGCACAGTCAATAGAGCCAGCTGGGAAAATTGATGCTGGCGTAAATAATACACAGCAAATCTAGTCCTTTATGCAGAAATTCATTGCCGGTGGCTCCAAGATGCAATGTAATTACCCCTCTATTCCTGCCAGCTGTACCACAGCGTATGAAATAATCCCCCCCACCCCGCCCTGGTCTGTTACGGGTGCTGTGACCATCTCTCTGTGAGCTGTAGTCCCGGCTGGGTGGAGGGGAAGACAGCAGGGAAGGGGAAATCAAAGGCAGAACATGATCAGGATTGTTTACTGACCACATGTTTTTAAAGGAAGGTAGCCTTTCTCGGTTTGAGAGCCTGTTGTGTAGTTAATTAGTTGTGTCTTGGCTGCAGGAAAGGCGGTCAGAGTTAGAGGCAGAAGATATAACATTTACAGATGATGAGCGCAGGAGGGATAAAAGGAAGAGGTCCGGAGGACTGGGAGCAAGTGGCAACCCAGCCCCCAAGGGTATCTGCCTGAGTGAGGACAGGCTTGGTGAGCCAAGACTGGAGGAACCCTGGCGCTGGTGCTTCCACAGGCTCTCAGGAGAAATGAACCCGCAGCCTCCTCACTAGGAGCAGTGGGTACATAATGGCAGCCTTGTGCATGCATGCTAAGTCGCCTCAGTTGTGTCTGATTGTTTGCAACCCCGTGAACTGTAGCCCACCAGGCTCCTCTGTCCATGGGATTCTCAAGGCAAGAATACTGGAGTGGGTTGCCATTTCCAAAGGGATCTTCCTGACCCCAGGACTGAACTCCTGTTTCTTACATCTCCTGCATTAGCAAGCAGATTCTTTATGACTAGCGCCACCTGGGAAGCTAGTTGCAACCATAGTAGGAAAGAAAATGTTAAGCTGGGATGGCACATCCCTGTCACTTGTACCATTTGGAAATCTTGAACCCACGCAGGCATCAGCAAAAAATCAAGCATTCTTTTTTGCTGAGCTCAGAGGCCTTTGCAATTTTAGTTTTTCTCCACGTGACACTCCAGGCAGCCACCACCAGTCTGTTGAAATTGATGTTCAAGGTGGAGCCTGGTTGCCATCTCTGCCCTGGGCACATCTGCCATGTTTCCTGTATGTGGTGTCAGGTGCTTCGTCCCTGACTCAGGACCGCAGAATTGTAGATTTGAGAGGCCCATAAAGATCATATGCCCTGGAATTTCCCGGGTGGTGTGGTGGTTGAGAATCAGTCTTCAGTGCCCTGCCTGTTCCACAACAAAGATCCACATGCTGCATCTAAGACATGAGGTAGCCAAATAAATAGACCATATGCCCCATCTTGTCATTTAGCTGAGAAGGAAAGTGAGGTCCAAGAGCAGAAATGACAGTCCCAGTGGCAGAACACAGGCTGGAACCTAGGACTCTCAGTTCCTCAGCCGGGATTCTGTGTCCACGTTGCCTTTGGTTTTCAATTGGTACAGCTGTGCCCTTGGTGGGGACTTTTTCCAGCCACACAGCCTCACCCAGGCAGCCTCTCTGGCCACGGGGAGGAGCACCGTTCACTGTTGCTCCAGACTCCCCCGTGACATCCTACAGGACTTTGCCCCTCACAACGAGCCCTGGGTCTTAGTCGTGGCATGTGGGATCTAGTTCCCTGACCAGGGATCAAACCCAGGCCCCTTGCATTGGGAGAGCAGAGTCGTAGCCACGGGACCACCGGGGAAGTCCTGTCCACATCTTACCCAGTGCATCTCGGAGCTAAACAAGTGCACTTCACCTGCTGCACAAACTTGGCTCCTTGAGTAGCCTTTGAATCCTGGCTCTTCCCTGCTTCCCTAGTTTCTGGGTGTAAGAGTCTCAACATAAGCTGGGGGTTTGCAGGAAGACAATAGGTATATGCTGAAAAGGATACAAAGTCAAGGAACAAGATTTCCATCTCATCTAACTTGGTCTTCCCTCTGACACTTACTGTATGCCATTGGATCAATCTGCCTCTTTAAGTCTTAGTTTCATCCACTGGGGAAAGGGGGAAGATAATACCTATTGCATAGAATGGCTTTAGGGTCATATAGCTTATGTAAAATGCTGGATACTTCCCCAGGCATATCATAGGACCTCAATTTCCTATTGCTTGAAAGGCTTGGGATACCTGGGAGGAACTGGAGACTGCTTCCTTCTGTCTACGAGGCCAGCTTCATGGTCGTGTGACCTGTGCGGCTGCACAGTGCTCTGAGCTTAGTTTAGAGCTCTGCTGTTCATCAACAGGAATGGCTGGAGAAGATGTGGTACATGGACACAAGGGAATAGTACTCGGCCATAAAAAGGAACAAAGTTGGACCATTTGCAGAGACATGGATGGACCTAGAGACTGTCATATGGAGTGAAGTAAATCAGAAAGAGAAAAACAAATATTGTATATTAACATGTTTAGAATCTAGAAAAATGGTATAGGTGATATTTGCCAAGCAGAGACAGATGTATGGATATCGAAGGGGGAATAAGGGGGTGGGAGGAATTGGGAGATTGGGGTTGACATATAAACACGATTGATACTGTGTATAAAATAGATAACTAATGAGAACCTCCTGTATAGCAGAGCGAAGTCTACTTGATTCTGTGGTGACCTCGATGGGAAGGAAATCCCAAAAGGAGAGGATATATGTATATGTATAGCTCTTCACTTTGCTGTGCAGTAGAAACTATCAGTAGAAACACAACATTGTAAAGCAGCTATGCATGCGTGCTGAGTGGCTTCAGTCGTGTCCGACTCTCTGCGGCCCCGTGGACTGCAGCCTCCAGGCTCCTCTGTCCATGGGATTCTCCAGGCAAGAGTACTGGAGTGGGTTGCCATGCCCTGCTCCAGGGAAAGCAACTCTACTCCAATAAAAATTAATTAAAAAATGCTTTTCTGTTGCCGTTCAGAAATTCTTATCACTATTTGAACAAGGGTCCCACATTTGCACTGTCCCCTGAAAACTCTTATTTATTTAATTTTTGGCTGTACTGGGTCTTCGTTGCTGCATATGGGTGTTCTCCAGTCGCCACGAGCAGGCACTAGTATCTAGTTGTGGTGTGCAGGTTTCTCACTGTGCTGGCCTCTCTCGTGGCGCGTGGGCTCTAGAGGGTGGGCTTAGTACTTGTAGCACACGGGTTTGGTTGCCCCGTGGTATGTGGGATCTTCCCGGACTAGGGATCAAACCCATGTCCCCTGCGTTGGCAGGTGGATTTTTAACCATTGGACAGCCTGGGAAGTCCTGAGTTGAACCCTTGTATCAGCCCTTCATTTTGGCAAACACCCTACTGTTGATTTCTTAGGGAGTAATTCAGTCAGAGGATAATTTCCAGTAGAAAAATTGGAGTTAGCATCCTGTGTCTATTGTTCCATTCTGGGATAACCTACACCACCTCTCTCAGAAAGCAATACTTTATATTTTACAAAACTTATTGGTCCAGAGAATTTAAGAGGGGGCTGATGAAATGGAGTGATAATTTGGGATTTTGGCAGGTTAGTCACTAAGTTGTGTCTGACTCCTGTGATCCCATGGACTACAGCCCACCAGGCTCCTCTGTCCATGGGATTGTCCAGGCAAGAATCCTGGAGTGGGCTGCCATTTCCTTCTCCACTGGGATTTTGGATTCAGGAGAAAATTTAGGCTCAAAACCCTGTTGGACTTTTCCTGGCTAAATGACCTGGACAAGGTGATGTCTCTGGCTTATTGGTAAAATATATGTTGCAGAGGAATTACATTTTCCTCATTGGTAAAATAAATGTCTTAGGGAAATGAAACAGATAATTTATGTAAAGTGCTTGCCGCAGAGTCTGGCACATAGTAGGTGCTCAATCACCATTAATTCTTCCAGTTCTTGCCAAACATAACAAAAATCAGGACTCTAGGACTTACAAGCCACTCTGCTACTAATACAAGAAATAATAAGATTTATTTTTTCACTGCTGTTTGGGGAAATGTACGTGCTTCATAAATATGTATCGAAAAGTACTTAGCAAATGAGTAGAAATAATAAAAATACGTCAAAGTAAACAGCTCCTATAAATATGTCACTTGGTAGACAAATTAGTGTTTTATTACTACTAAATACTATTGCTTGCTGAAAAGGATTTCAGATTACTTGCACAACGGGTACATTATGGAGTGCCTCTGTGGAAGGGCACGATAAAGATGAAAAATAATGATGGTGATAATATGAAAGGTGGAGAAAGGAGGTGTGTGGGTAAATGCAGCTCTGAGCTCCTCCTTGCTTTAGTGACACGCATATTAGTTAGCAGCATTTCAATGATTTAGCTGTAATATGGACCAGAGGGCCCAGAAAAAATGATTTCCACAGGATGTCATGAATTCTGACTCCAATTATCAGGCCCATCAGTGGCTAAGTGCACTCCCTTTTGGAACTGTGCACTTAAGCTTAAAAACTAAGCTCACAAAAAGACATCTCTGG